CACTCGTGTCTTTTTTTTCGGATACGCATAAGAATGCATAAAATGCAGAAATTTCTTGATGTAGGAAAAAAACAGATCGGCTGAATTGATAAAATGAATAATTTTCGACGATAAAAATAAATAGCTTGAATTATTATTATTATTATTATTATTGTTACTACTGTTATTAATTTTCCCCTTTTGTTTTTCCAGTGTTTATGAGGAGTAAATTGTAATAGTTATTGAAGAGATTATATTGCAACTCAAAGCACAATATCTATCTGTTCATGACTTTGATATTTGCCCCAGTTTATTCGCCTATTTAAGCTAGATTTTGTTGCTCTGATTTGGATTGTTTGAAATTCGATTTAAATTAAAAACTTGCTGTCCAAAAAATATATCTGGTGCCGAAATTACAGGTTTACATACTTAATTGTTCGGGATGCCTCCAACCGGTTCCTTAAATTTGTCACTTCAGGTGGCCGGTAATGCGACTGTAAATACAACAAGTGGAAATGATGATGAAAGGATCTGGTTAGTCTTTTTTATTCTGAGAGGGAATTTTGAAAAGCCCGTGAAATCCGAATTGATTTCCTACCGATCGTTCCAGGAGAGACTTGGGAGAGCAAAGAAACGTTGTTGTAAAAGTGGGAGGTGGAAGGAAGAAATTGGAAAATATCAGGTTCAATATCTTGCCGAAAGCATATAGTTGGGAAACAGATCTCTCGTTGTTAGCATTTGCTAGCTGCTGCTTTAAAAAAAAATAGTCTGGAGTTGTAAATAAAGAGATTCGTTTGAATTCACAAGTCAAATGATTTCAGGACTCAAATATTGTCAGAAGTAAGCGCTAATGGTGTAAACAATAACGCACCAGGAACGATTCTGTTCCTAGGTAACACCACCAAAAATTGCGTATTAAAAAAGAATGTTTATTTCCCAATAAGAAATCTTCGTAATCTTTGTAACCTTCGCTTCAAATAAAGTAGGCCTTATTTATTTAGAATTCAATAAATATTCGTCGTAGCTGCTAAACTTTGGGTATAGTTATTGTCTAACAGAAAATGGCCACTAGGAAAATTAAGGCTGAAGGAAGCGTGAAATAAAACCTGGACTCAAAAAAAATATAGAGGGAAGTGTTGTAGAAGGTAACCAAATAATTTATCTCAGTAGCATTTATTAATGAAGTTCAAATTGTAGAAACTTGTTTCCAAATAAGTTATGCTTTGCATTGCAGGAAATAGACAGAGCGGTAAAAGTTGGTTACTGAATAGACTTGAGAAACGGGAAACATCTGGCCGTGGTTCTGCGCTTGAGTACCATTTCTTGAATGTACACACGGATTACAGGGATGTAAGTTATGCGTACCAGTTAGCTTCGGCAGGTATGTTTATAAAATTTAATTCTATTATTTTTGCTTGATCCGTAATCTACGGTAAAATTTGTTATATGAAAATGCCTGGTTTGTGTTAACCAGTAAATGAATCTGATATCTTGGAACTTCAGCAATTATTGCGAAAAACTTTAGATAAACTCGTAAAATATCTCATTTCCTTCCATAATATTTTATTGTGCATCTCTGCATACTATTGCAACGTGTTACCTGGTATGCTTCAGCTTTTCAATTTTAGGTGCCGGTGTTGCACCCGGCGAAAGCGTAACACTCCCTGTATGGGTTTTGGATGGTGATTTGGCATTCGCGCCTTTAATGAAATTTGCTTTAACTGCACCGTTAGGAAAAAGCATTGTCATATTGTGTGCGTCGATGCAAGAACCCGGAACTATACTTCCATCATTGAATAAATGGGTTGAAGCGATAGGTGACCAGATCGAAAATATATTTGATAAAACTACCGTGATGGATGCTCGTAGATCACGTAAGGTCCTTTGTAAAATTCGTACCGTGCATGTAAGTTTGCTTAATTCCTGTCGCAATTTTCGTAAAACTTTTGTTATATGCTATTTCAAATTATTAGAGATGAAAGAAAGGAGAGCTGTCAGGTTTTATATTTGGAAGGGATGCAAAGATCATTTCAGAAGAATTATTTTGGCAAGAGTATGTCGAACCACTGGATAGCTCGATGCAGAGTGATAAAATACCATCTATGGAAACAGAACATGTACGTTCATATTTTATGATATTCGTACCGTGATATCTTGATTCAGTAGGTGAATGACTCTTCGCATTCCATATCTTGTTTCTCTGCTTTGCTCAGCCTCCTTTGGTTAAAAAGAAGAAAAAAATGGTTCAAAGCTTTTGTTCTAGGTATTACTACCGTTGGATCAAAATATCTTGACTCGAAATACAGGTGCTGCGCTAGTAGTTGTGCTAACCAAGAGTGACTTAGCACATACTGAAATGTCTGATGATCAGCTCGATCGCCTACAATATCACGTCCGCAAATTTTGCATGGCACATGGAGCTGCTTTGGTAGGGAACATCACACATTTTCGATCGCCTACAATACCACGTCCACATTTTTCGTCATCAATATTTCGTTCAGATACATGTATACACGAAAGTTTTTTCATTCATTCCTTGAAACGTACACGGATATATTTCAGGTTTACACATCTGCCAAAGAGGAAAAGAATACAGCTTTGCTATACAAATATCTTGTTCATCGAGTTTGTGGAATGCCATTTACAACACCTGCTCATGTTGTTGACAAGGATTCAGTATTTGTGCCAGCAGGTTGGGATAATGAGAAAAAGCTGGATATAATCAAGGAAGCAATCCCAGATGTGGACCATCCATTAGAAGTTAATTTCCATAGATTATTTTGGCAAAGTAAATAATTGGGTATTGCACGCGCATTTGATGGTTTTGAACTAAACTAAATACTTTAAGCTTCCATTGAAATTTGAGTGTATTCCTTAATAAGATTATTGAAGGTAATAGAAAAGTTGAACTCGTGGTATTTACATTCTAGCTTACTTTCAATGCAGTTTACCAAAAGAATTCATGCATTAAGATCTTTTTCTTCTTTCACAGATGGTGCATGAAAAACAGTCTATACGAGACCAAATAATGGAAGCGGAGGAAGAGCAAGCGTTCCTACAGAAACTTGCAAGTGTGGAAGTTGCATCACCGAAACGAAGTGGACCGCAGAAGCAAACAAGCGAAGGAACAGATGGCAATTCTCCTCTTGTTTCCTTTTTCAACAACCTTCTTAGAACCAAGGAGGGTCAGGTCGGTTTTTCTTTCGCGAGTTCCTTTTAATTGAATTGTCTATTTGAGATTGCTGAACAAAGGCCAAGCATAAAGGATAGGCATTGCTACTTTCAGGCTGCGCAGACGAATCGTGCAGTGGTTGATCCGCAAGCGCAGTTACAAAGAATGCTGGAACAAGTAAACAATTCGGCAACATCATCAGCAACAAAATCGAACGGAGAGCAACTATGAATGACTTCAGAGTTAACTTCAATTCAGCAGCAGTCAGGAATGTGATTTAAAACTCAAAAAAGTACTGCTAGTTTATAAATTTTATTGCAGTACATTTGCTGGAAAGTGAAATAATTTTGCTTCGAGATTGCTGTTGTTGCATGCGAAAGTCTTAAAATGTCAGTGACGATTTTGGAGAAGTTAAATGATCTCCAATTCGTCTTTTCTTATTATTTTAACTGAATCATGTTTATTTGTCCAATTGCTGTTACTTGTCAGTATTGTCGCAGTGTTCCTGGAGAGGTGAAACTTTCACCGGAAATTCATAATTGTATAACTAAGAGATATAGTCTGGAGTCTTATATCTTCATTTCTAATTGCACCCATTTCTTATTTTAAGTTGTATATAAAGTTGAAATTGTCGGCTCTAGATGCCGTATACTTCATGTTACGGTAACTGTTTACAATGTAAATCACGGCTTTCTCTCCTTTTAATGTAAAGAAATTTCTATTCATCCGAAATTGAGCTTAATCCATGTATTAGGACTAATAAATTTTCACCCCGAAAATTCAAGAAACTAGGGAATCGGTGAAAAATTTCTTTCCTTCACCCTCAGTGAAATTTCGGTTAAGTTCATCCTCTCTACTGTATATTTTAATAATAATTGCTTGCTTAACAACAACTCATCGATGAGCATATTTAGAAGAAATTAGTAGCAGTTCACAAAAAACGCGACTTTCATTTCTTTTTTTTCTTGAAGGATTGTAATAGGTATTATATCCTATTCTGTTCCTACAAATTGGCATATTCTAGACGACCTTTCGCAAATGGCTGGAAAATTTCGAGATCTTCCTGGTAATTGCAGTCAAGCTCATAAAGCTCAGCGCATGCCGATGGTTTGTAAGGTACCAAATCCAAGCACGGATGTAATACTCGTTTTTCGATCTTCCTTAAATTATTCGTAAATTGAATTTTTTGATAAAAATAGTAACGAAGAATTCAGAAAATTTGTATAAAGAAAGCTACAAAAGGAAAGCTACTTTGCTCGAAAATTTTCAAATTGTAGAAGTCTGACACGAATATAACTCACAAGTGTTCGAGGATATCAATAACTGACTCATTCTCTAAGAAAATATCCACTCTGTATGGTAAAGATCGCTTGCACGGGAAACGACGAATATTTACAGTTGTACCGGTTGGTAAAATACTTCGCAGAATATCAGTTTCAGACCGATGTGGATAATACTGCATTGAGTTTGGCAGGCAACAGAGATAGATCTGGAAGAGAATAGGAATAGTAAATTTGAAACAATCAGTTTTTCAAGCAACCAGAAAGCAATCAATTTTTTAATTTTCGGTATCGAATCTTCGATAAGTTTAGAATAGATTTGTTCTAAAACGATGGTTCGTTCCCAGTTATAATATCGTAAACGATAGTGCAAGCAGTCGGTAAATCAACCAGTTCAGCGAAGTGTTTCGAATCCAGAGGATAATATCAAACATTAAGAATAATTGCCTGACACCGAAGGTGATTCGACTACTGCGCTATTTGGCACAATCTTTTCTCTACCTCTGATAATGCATACGCATCTGATGAATAGACTAACATCAGAGCGCCAAGAATCGAGGATAGGTTTGAACTTACAATGTATTTTGGTGAGACATGACCACTTGCCACTGAGCCAGTGCTACCTGAAAGGATCCCTCCGCTTTGATCTAACTTATTCCACTGGACTATAGAGAATTAATTACCAAGATTAAGCTAAGATTTTAGCTCAGGAGTAAAGATGCCGAACTTATTAAGATAAGTAAGTAAGATTGTGAAAAGCTTGTGAATTGCTGACTGAGCATATGAATTGCTTGGAAGGGAACGATTTTTCCTACTATATGGTAAAAATTAAACTTGTTGAAGTAATCGTAACCAGCTTATTGCTTGTATGCTTCAACAATCTTTTTCTTAGCCCGAATGAAAAAGTGAGATGTAATAAACGTATTGAGACTACTTCAAAAAGCATATTGGTGATAAAGACGAACTTTGCTGATCTGTCAAAAGATTAGCAGTTGAAAAATGGTCTGAAGATAATGAGATTCAGTAATGAAGCGTCTAACTTACAAGTGGTGTTTCCGAGAATTCTCTTGTAAGAAGGCGTAAATTACCAGATTGGCAGTCCATTTTCGGTAAATTCTTCTTCCACCCATGATCAACACTACGTAGCCACACCATTTGGTTTCCAACTTCCGCTATTACAACTCGGCAGGGATTGCAAGCAAAGTTATCAGAATAAGCACAAGCTAGGGCTGGCAGCAACCATTTCTCAGGAACAATTTTTAGCTCGGGCCACTAAAACAGTATTTGGTTATGTTTAGAGAAAAAGAAAGATAAGTTTCTAGAAGTACCAACGGTAATAAAACAGATTGAACAAAACAACTCTAACTATATAAGGAAATGATACTAACTAATTCAAACTTCAGTTAGTTCAATAGGCTGAAAAGACTTATGATTGACAAATAAATCTCACTCGATTTTAGCATTTAGCCTCGAACTTTCCCAAAAACAATTAATTTACTTAAAAATTCAAAAAATTTTTAAAATACGGTTTTAGTAAGGCGTGATATTTGAATGTTGGAATAATTTCAAAAAGAAAAGGAAATTCTGAACTTGAGCATGTAAACGGAAAATAGGAACTGAACATTGGGGTAGGCATTTTAATAGAACCTTGATGAATAAGTGTTTTTCCAGCTTCTCGATTGTCTTTTTGTGATATTCACTATGTAAGTAAATGAATCGGCTGTTTTCAATATGTGAAATGTAAAGTGGTTCATCAGTGATCGGTTTTTGTAATCTGGAAACTTCACAAGCTATTATTATTAATTTTGCAAGTTATTATTATTATTACTTTGTTATTATTCTTTCCTAGTCATTTGAGCCATTGCTTCAATTTCTCTTTTCTAGCATCAATCCCAATTTATTTCATGTCGCTATTTTAATTAAAATTTGCTAACATATTCTCTGGATGAAGTGATAATTTTACCTTTCCAAGTGCAACACATGTGTAGGTTGTAAACATTCATCTCCGGAACTCTCCTCGTTCGTAGAATCATTTGAAAAATCGTCGTTCTAAAACCTAATTTTTAAAACATTTTATTTTCTTGATTTAAAAAAGATATACTCGATATATTGCTGAAGTGTAGCTAAGGTTATGATTTACAACAAAAAAACAGATGACAGGAAAAGTAAGCAAATATTTTAGAAGTAAAAAGGGGGAAAAGAAAGTGAGAGCTACGACATATAATATCTTAACCTCATTGATATTATTTCTAGTTTTTTAATATTGGATGTCATGCTCACTGTTTTATATAAAAAAAGAACTTTCACTTCTAGCATTCTGAACAAATATCGTAGCAAATTGAAATAAAAACGAAGTTTGACATCTCAGACTAATTCGTCATCAAATAGCAATCGACATATTGCACAGAATATTTATATGATTGAATTATCAAAACCTTTAACCACAAACAATTGCGGAATGATTTAAATATCATGAACTTTTTCAAAAATACGATTTTGTATGATCTTGACGAGAATACGCCATTCTATATGACAAAATCATCCGGAGAGAAATTTAAATTGAAGTGGAACGAAGTAGATGTCATAATTAAATATCAAAATAATAAAAGGTACCATTCGAGCCAATTTTTTATTCCATCTCCTTTCTCGCGCCGCTTCATGCTCGGCATGATCTTTATAACGATAAAACAGTTTGCCGAGATTCGTGCCTTGCACCGTTGGGTGATACAAATTGACAAGAAATGGTATGGAGGAAACATCAGCAAGTTCTACCCGAACAATATTACCACAAGATTTAATTAAATTTTGGAATGCATTCACTTTTTCCACTGTTAAATCGTTCATATCGACGCCTGTTGAAATAGCGTTATTGTTTCTTTTTTCCTAATAATAATATAAAAATTATTCTTTGCTGCTATGTCAATGGAATACATGTTGCATGCTTCATCTAAAATGATACTTTTCCTCATGCGTATTGATTGGTGTCTCATAGCTCTAACAACTGTTCCCTTTCTCTTTCGCAAGAAATAAGATTTGAGTATTTGGATAACATAACCTACTGACGGAATCAACAGAGGCACTGAAAGATATCTCTGGAATTCCATGTATGTATTTTTATTCAAGCCTTCAGCACTTATCGTTTGGTTTTTCTGTGTTGGTATGATTGCGTGTAGGTAAGTTAAACTTAACATTATGAAAAAACCTCATACTATCAAATTTGTGATACGTTCTTTAAGGCCTCGAACTGGATACTAATTCAATATGCTAATTCTTGTAACTTCTGAAATTATACCTTTCATACGACAACGTACAGCAAGCGGAGGTAGACGTCCAAAAACTTTAAAAAGAGGCCTAACATTTTCTATTTTGGCGAAATTGTCGTTACCGATATCAACAAGATCTATTATTACACCATTTCCTTTATTGAATTTCAAGATCCTTGCTCGTAACCATTTCAAGTTATCGACCAATACCGCGCACGGTGCACCGATACATATTTAAAAACAAAGTGAAATTGTAATCCTTCAAACTTCTAAATATTACCTGATTGCCACCATATTCACTTTATTAGCAAGCCTAAATTTTTGAGGGAAAAGTCATACCTGATCACTTGAAATCATATATTCGTTCTCGGCACTGTATACAGCCTGCATTTGCCGGTATAGTCGCTCACGGGCGCGGTCTAGTGATTTCGGCTGTAATGAAATATTTCCATTTTATAACCACAATACGGAGCTTTTTTATAATGATATAATATACCTCAAACACGGTTAATCGCGCAAACTGGACTCAAAATATCAACTGTCAAACTATTCCACTTAATCTATTCCCTAATATCTCTGATATCTCAATGATTACAGATGCATACGGAAATTTGTCACTACTTGAAAAATTCGAATGCAATATTAAAATAAATTGACCCCAAATTGAAACTATTGAAACCAGTTAGAATTTTACTAAGTCAAAATTAACAAAATTTCATTCTTTGAACAAAAAATCACTGAATCAACATACTTGAATGCTGAAATCATAGGGTGAAAATGAATTCGGTAAATGTGCGTAGAAAACAGGAAGTGTAGCAGACGACTGCCCTGCAGGTGCGCTAGCAGTTGTAGCAATATTGTAATGGTAATAAGCAATCACCTGCGGTTCAGCATATTTCCAACAATACTGTGGAAAAACTTCAGCCATATCTAAAAAATTTGAAGATTACAAGAAGCACAAATATTAAATGAACCAATTTATTGGAAATTTCATTGGCTGCACTATCTCAGCAAAACTATAAAATAATATCATTGTGTTTTGCTTGATTGATTGGAAAAGTAGAAGCAAATAAAACTAGCCAAACTTATCACCTTGTTATTAAAATACCGAACTTACCTAACTCATTTACAGCTTTATTATTAACCAACAATCAATCATGACACACACCAACACAAAGTTCTTAACCATTTATACCTCGATATTAAACATTTTTTAGAACAAGAATTATCAAAATCACATACATCGTAATTTCCATTCCGGATCTTCTGGAACTTCCACCAAATCGCGGCATTCATCCCATTTCATTTTTTCCTTCCTGCCTACCAGCAGCAACTCAGAGTTCGAGTCAGATGAAAAGCCCCTCCCAGAAGTTAATGTAATTTGGGAAATATCAATAGTATTAAAACCAGCCATCTTCGGTAACTAATCTTCAGCGATACTTCGCAGCAACTCTATTCATCAAGAGATAAGTTGCAGTTCAATGAGCTATTATTCAAGAATAATTGGTACATGTTGACAAGAAATTCTAAACGACAATTTCCGAATACCCTGGAACCGGAAGCATGAGAGGCATATAAATGACCCTAACACTGCATTGTTAAAAACTTCGCGCGACCACTCGAGAAAAAACTCCATCCACAGTAAGCCTTGAAAGTTAAACAAACTGTTACAATCATTAGACTGATCATCTTCATCTCATCTATCGTTAGCAGAAACTCATTTTCTCATTCTCTCCTTTTTGTTTGCTTTTTGCTATTTCCCCACCTTCCCATTTTAATGTTTATTATTACTCAACGATTTACCGAATAACACAGTGGATATCCATGCCCATACACATATGAAACCAATGCAATTCAATTTATTATGAAAAATATAATGTACAACGAAAAATCAATGGAAATGGGAAATCATATCCAATGCATGGCAATTATAACAACATTGTACAAAGAGACTATATATTATTTCCAAACGTACGATTTCAAAGATCGAAAAAATCCCATCTGGAAATAGAAAAAAATCCTAACCAGTTCTTACTAATCTTGATAGTATTGCCTTCAATTTACAAAGCATCTTTCTCTATTTTACTGCACTTGTCCTTTTGAAGACAGTTGCATCTTCCGAAATCACTTCAAAATGCTGTTCAGTTTTTCATATGTAAGAATGCGAAGTTTCGGAAGGGCAAGTTCACAGGATTTACTGATTCTATAAACAAAGGCTGACTACACGTATTACAACATTTGTAGAAGCAGATACCTGTGCACGCTAATTTCATAACGAATGACCATTGAAATGGGTGTCAAAAAATGAATCCAACTGTTGTACTTCATCATTTTCGTACTCCTCAAAAGCACTCTCAAAATCAACATATTCGATGCGTGATGTGGATGCTTCTAGAAGCTGAAAAAAGCAACAAATCAGATTCTACTTTTTTAATAGCAGCAGCTCAAAGGAAAAAAATTTCTCTTCAATATTTATCACGATCCATTAAAAAATGACCTGAGTTCCTCAACTTCATTATTCATCAAAAATATTCAGTCGTAGACCTGACTTTGGAATAATACTATAACAATAGCCAAAATTTTGATATTCCAAAATATGAAACTGTTTGGAATATTTAGATCCTCTCCAAAATATTAAAAAAGCCAAATTTACTTCGGGCATGCGTAATTGCTGAGTTGAAGAGCGCTGAAGAGTGAGAGCGTCAGTTTGGTTTTCCTCATGCACATAATTTTTAAATTTTCTATGTACCAGTGCATCAACTTCTGGATCGTTAAATGATAGAATAAATGGTGCATTCAGTTCACGTTCTTTTTCGATTTTAGTTTTGCTTTCATACTCAGATACAGGAAATGAGCATAAGCTTTCTGACGGAATTGACACTGATGCTTGTTCACCTATAAAATATAGAAAATTTTAATTTCTTTCTACCCTCTAAAAGAAGAGTTCCTTCAAAAAAAATTTTAGATGTGTTTTGGTGAATATGACTTTCATTCATTCTACTCACACAAACCTGAGATTTTATGCTAATAGCGAGATTTATTAAATCACCAACTGTTAGCTTGGAAAAAAAGGTTCGTTAAAGATTCAGCTTAACAATAAGAGTATAAAATAACAGACACAGTTTTATTAAATAAATCACTAGAAAAGTTGAGCAAACGCTGAAGCTTAATAATTTTTAAATATGACTGAAATTCGAGAAATTTAGTAAGAAATCTAAAATAAAAACACGTTTACCGTTTTTGTTCAAGTGAGTATACTCCATGGTAACAGGTTCGAAAACTTCCGGTGACGCAGTAAATGGGGCAGATGCGATATGCTGCATTTTACTGTTTACTTCATCACCCTGATTATTTCCTATTTTAGAGCGTGGTAATATGCTGTCAAGCTGCAATCATCTGATCATCATAACGAATATGTATTCATACAACTTTTTTATTGAGATTAATTGAATCTATAAATCGTAAGAAACGGAAACGACGGAAAATCAGCAAGTCATACGTATTTGAACATTGAAGAAAAACAAAACTTACGTCTTTGATGCCAAGACGATGGGCGATCTGAACACGTAGCGCATCTGGATCAACAGCCTTCTTGAGCGTCTCCAAATCTAGTGCACTTTCTTGACCAGACCGCTTCTGTTGCATACGTCGCACGAGACGCTGCTGCTTTACTGGTATAGATGGCACAAATTTCATAATTTTACGCTTGCATAGCTCAGAACCAAGAGCATCCAAGTATTCAGCACGATTGTATCGTAAGTTGTATGCCGTTACCTATTAGATAAGCATGTTTCGCCGGGTTTTAGGGAATAGCAGACGATGCTAAAACTAAAAAAAGAAGCCAAAAAAAAGATCTGGCTTGGTTATCAGCCTAACTTGAAAAAAGGTACTTTCAATCATACTATGTTTATAAAATAGAAATTGCAAAAGCTATCGAAGTTGTATTTGCAAAATAAAAATTACAAAAGCGTCTAAATTTGTACGACCGCCAAAATGCACGGGTCGACGCCAGTTCAGTGAGTCGAATATTTCACTTGAGATCATATCAGGATGAAACTTTGAAGAAGAACCTTTCCTGAAAAATGTAATTTAAACATTAAAACCGCTAAATCTAGTAATGAAAGAAAACTACTAACATTAAAACGATTGTGTCTAGAATAACGACGTAACAGAAATACCATTGCTATTATTTGCAATATTACGCATAAAAAAGGGAGTAAATATCATATCTTCTGAAGTAGAAATAAAATATGAAACAAACTTTGAAGCATGTTATGAAAAAATCTTATGATTTTAAGCTATAAAGGAACGATTCAATGATGAAATCAGGGTTTCATGGAGGAGAACAGGATTAATCAACTTTGACAAGAAGTTATGCAATGAAAACTAAAATCCTATGCCCTCATTATTTCTACATCTTTAGCAATTACGGTTATCAGTCTCATGGCTATCTTTAGCACTATATGATAAGGAGTGATCTCCCTTTTAAAATTTAAAGAAAAACTTACAGAATAGATATCCGAGGAGCCGGACTCGTCTCTTCTGGGCCTTTAATACCTTTCATGGACTGTTTTAGGGCCACTTCTACAGCTGCAATGCATTTCTGATCTGCCGGCAAATTCGGTGGCAAGGTAGGTCGATCAGCACTATTAAGCCGTCGTTTCCGGAAGAATGGTCTCATTCCCACACTCGTAGTCACTTTTGCCGAGATTTTGGCATCTGAATCATTTCTTTCAAAATAAGATGGACGTCTGTCAACACTCTGTTCTGAACGAAGATCTGTTATTGATTGCCGCTTCCGGATATCTATTTCCATCTTAGGCCATTTTTGTAAATAATTTTGGATCGCAGCGGACGACCTTAGATTACTGACGCCTTTCAACAATTCTTCAAGTGTCAAATCACCGAAATCTCTTTTTGCTTCTTCTAAGGAAATTATCTTCAACAAATGATGCCGTGTCTCTCCTGCACACAGTGGTGAAGATATTGCTTCATTTTTTATGAAATCATGCTCCAAAGCCACTCTAACTACTAATTCCTTTATCAAAGAAGCGACCACACCATCATCGTCGACGACCTCTGAATTCAACTGTCGTTTTTGTTTTAAGAAAACTTCCCGTATTTGAGCAATATTTACAGATTCTGGCATTTTCGTGTTCACAGACGGCACCACGAGTGAAATCCGATCTATCGAACTCCTATTTCCTGATACAGAATCACCACAAGATATTCCATCAAACTTCTCTTCGAAAGCAGCACTTTGCTTCCGCTTTCTTATAGTTTTTGTTGATATTTCAGAATTAGATTCAGCTTCCTTTAAATCTTGACCAGTATAAGAAATGCTATTTTGAGGTGTTGATCGTAAAACTTCAAGAATAACATCATCGTTATTTGAATGTATCTTTTGCGAATTTACTCCCTCCAATTGTTCTTGTTGCTGTTGAGCAGGAGAATCTCTTTGTGAACAAAACTGAACGAAAGAATCTGTGAACGAATCCAAAGGAAAATCTGTGGTAACAACACATTCTGGAACCAAGTCCATTTCCCACGACTTCGAATCACACACCATGTCTTTTGCTCTTTTCCCCGTATTATCTGAATTTTCCCATTCGTAATCTTTTTGATCTGAATCACTAGGCTGACTATTTACAGGTGGCAAGTGGATGTGCTTGACCAATTCAAATCTTTCTTCCATATCTTCTTCATCAATTCGAATCTGCCGAATTGGAACTTCGGATTCCCAAATTTCCATTTCATTTGGAACATACTTAAATGAAATTACATCTTAAATTAAACATACTTGAAGAAAATTAGATATGTAAAAAAATAGATTTGCAAATGAAAAAAGAAAAAAAAACAACTGACAGGATTTGTTTCATCTGAGAGGTAAGGTGCACTGAGAAATGAATCCTGACTACATTCCTCATTCTCCGTAAGTGCGCTTTCAGGTCTTACTGAACTGCCTCGTGTTGCATGACCAGAAGATGGTGTGACTGTACCAGAATTATTCTGAAAATGAAGTAGTGTAATATATTTCTTGCTTAACTTAATTTGCAGATTAAAAAAGTAAAAAAAAAAAACGAACCTTTTTGGCATTACTGATGTTTCCCCGATCCAATTTATCTCGGAAAACATTTGGATAGAGATACCACAAACGTTGTGGTAATAAATGAATATTTGGCAAAGGTATATAGCCTGTCCTCATCTGTTCTTCTGTCCTTCTTGTCCAAAAAACTTCCCTTGGTATCCATAACGGAAAGTGGCAGCTCTGAAATAACTCAAGTATTTCCGTTAAGTACAAAAATTTTTCAAATATTTTTTCCTTTTTTAAGTTAGTTTTCTTGAAAACAATAATTAATGAGTGATACAATCGTAATGGAATCCAAAGATCTTAATCTATGTTTCAATGATTTCTCACTGCATTAAAACACCATTCTGCATTGAGATTTGAAATGATGACATACACTTTAGACTACATCTTCACCAAATGTGCAATATACATTTCTAAGAAACCCTGACATTTTAAAATTCTTGAATATAGGACTGGAATTACTATCAATTGATAGAAAAACAGCAACAAAAATTCCTATCACTTCTTAACTTCGCTCTCTTGAAGCCATCGAACAATTTTTTATTAAAAACAAAAAATAGAAAAAAACTTAACAAACCTGATTTTTTATGCCTCGACAAGTCCACCATATTCTTTGATATGTTTGACCATTTTCTTGATAAACATCAAGTTCGAGTGCTTCCAGCCGTTCCGGACATTTAGGGCATTGCAGTATATCGAAATCGTAAACCTAATTTTCACAATCTCAAACTTAGCCATTACCAAGCAGAAACAACTATCTGGGGCAAAAAAAATCAATTAAAACACCATTAAAATCAAAACGTAAACTGAATTGATCAAAAAGAAATTAAAAAATTTACCAAAGTGCAAAAACAGAGATTTAAAAAACAGATCCTTACACGGTTTTTATCGCGTAGCTGATAAAAAAGCGATGCAGTGATATCGTCCAAATTCGAAGAAGCAGCAGTAACTGGCGAAGAAGTCATAGCTGTACCTCAGATGTCCTCCCTTAATCAGTCATTTGCGAAGAGAGAAAATGACATCACAAAATCATCGACAGGAGGATCACCGGACAACTTTCTCCCCATAATTGCTGCACTAAGAATGTATTCATCATTGTCGCTCAGTGAAGCGACTCTGGTTGATTATTCAAAAGTTGGAAAATAATTTGAAAACTAACAAAAAAATTAATAAATTTCATACCATGAAATTCAACAGGCATCTCACTTGAATTTATACGATTTTAGGTAACTATTTCTTTCCACAATCATGCTTGCAGGAAAGAATTTTAGGGAAGCCAGATAACGGTAAACATTACAGTTCCAGCATTTAAATTAAATGAAGTGCATGATGTTTCGCGTAAATTTTTTTGACGACACCGGCAGTTATTACGGGATTACGGTTAACTTAATAATACAGTATAATCATTGTTAAAATAAATGAATATGTGGAACTGCTGTAATACCCTGGTATTAATAAACTTTAAAGTTTGAAATATATTTTTAAAAAATCTGTTGAAATATCCAAATTTTCTCACATCTTCAGAAGTTTGAACTGAACAAAAAAGTTGAATTTCATGTGAGATGAAAATTTAAAAGTGAAATAATTTAAGCGAAACCCATCATAAGCATACCATTTTCTAATTAGTAATTCAGAGAATTATTCTGATGCAATGTTGTAAAGCATGGAATTCTTTCAACACTTAATAAAAGTATGAGTAAACCGCTTCTTTATCACTTTTCTGCTTTTGTCGCCACAATGACCTCAACGCCTGAGAATGAAACCAAATAATGATATTACTTTAAATTACATTGCCAATAGGTAGGACACTAAACCATCATTAAACGAACCATAGCCTATATATGACGAATTTGCAAGAATGCAGTTTGGAGATTTCATGAAGTATATTTGGAGTGAACAAACACGTGAAGCACATGGGACATATGCTTTGGGATAATTCCGGAAGTCTATGAGAGATTATGAGATCTTTAAACCATGAGTACATTCATTAAATGCTATAACAAGCTTGAACTAATAAGTAAGACTTAAACACAGGTGTGAAATGTACACCAACACACTGATGGGTATCAACGTAGCATACACCACGCATGCGCAACTTGTCTCCCATGCCAACTACAATAAGCGCCAGCCATGTGATCGATGTGGTATCGTCTTTGGCAGTATTCCTCGAATCTTTAGAACTAACTGATGGCTGAGAGGTCTTAGACATCTTGAAATGATATATCAAGTCTTTGCATTTATACTTGGACGTCAGATGGATATGGGGATAAGTAATCGGTAGATTACTGCTAAGTATTATGATTTAATGATGGTTACCTAGCAGTGTCCACATGGTTACCTCTTTTACAGTGTTACCATATTACGCCTCGATCTTGCCTTTCTAACTGTAGTCTTCAATGGCGCACTCAAAAAGCGCATAATAACACAATTGAAGCTTTCATTTTTTATAAACAAAAATTATCGAAAGCATAGAAATTTCTGTTTGTACATAAATTTAAGAAAGAAAATACACAGAAAATGATTGATGGCTTGGCAAATGAATTTTAAATTGGAGCTCACTATAAAATTACTGATTAAATTATCTAAATTAATACCTTTCTGCCTGAAGTCACTGGGCAAATGGTTAACAAAAATTTAAATTCACACATTGTGCACAAAGTGAAAGTATGAATGAAAGGAAGAACGAGAGTTTAAAACGACTGGGTAAAAGTTGTGTATACTGTTAAGCAATCAGAAGATAATATATGTGGCTGAGTTAAAAGATCAAAATTACAGTCAGTACAGCAAATGTAATGGTTGAAACTCAAATTTCTATGTATGAGGTTTCAGCGGAAATCTCCGAATTTTCTCTCTCAACACCAAATCTAATTTTCAATCTTCCCAGGAATAAAGTCGATTTTTTTCTTTGTGTATTATTAAAAAGAAATGATACAGGAAGTGATAATAAAAAAATTGCTTAAAGAGACAACAAAGTTCTGGGAAGCTCTCCTTGACTCTTTTCCTATCTCTATTCAAGAAGCTCAAATTCATCGTAGCTGTCGTTCACTTCACCGAGATCTGCATAATCTGAAAAACAAACTATAAAGATAAATTCAACAAATTTTACTCCATAGTGTCCTGGTATCTACTCTAGAGTATTTGAATGTAAATAACCTTTAGCATACTGAAGAAAATCACTGTTTATTGTATATGCAATAAACAATATACAGAAGATGGTGGAGATTGATCAAAATTAATAATCTGTTTCATTCTGCTGTGCACTCTTCGTATTTGGCAACAGATTCCTCTGTCATATCCTATATGTTTGCATAAAACTAAGCATAGATTAAATGTTTTAAATTTCAGATCATTCGCTACCAATTGATTGCAGGAAGAAATAGCTGATTAAACAACTTGCCTCGTAGTTTCGTATTTTCTCCAACATACGGTACAAATTTCGGAAAATTTTTTGGCCTTGTTTCTAGCATTTCGAACAATGGCGGTGTTGAAGCCGGCAGTAAGTGCTGAAACATAAAACTTTCGATAAAAATCAGTGGAGAAAAGGATGAATCCGAGACTAACTAGAAAATGTTGTGGAAATGATCTGGTCATGTCCCACTTAGTAAACAGCACCATTCGCAGCCGCTGTGCTAGCTCATTGTAATCGTCTTCAGTATGACAGAGAAAGCCAAGTGCCAGCGATGGATCCACCTTATCGATCTTCGTACTCAGAATGAAGGGACAGTGATAGGTGCTGTCTTTGAATTCATCATTTTTGATCTGTAAAGGAATAAAAATATGAAACACAGAATAAAAATGAGCAGAAAGCAGAGCAAAAATGACAGGATATAATGGGTAGTCAGGAAATACGCATAATGAAGTATTGAAACGATTTAAACATTACCTCAACATAGCCATCACGTTCATCTTTCGTTGTCGTAGTTTCATCTAAATCAACGAAATCCTGACAGAAATGAGGGTCGAGATAAAGTAACTAAAAAAAAATTTTAAGTGAGGCATCATAAAATTTTGAAATTTTCATGACCGAGACCATGGATTTTGCGAACTTTTATTGCTAAATTCTCCGATTCAAAAGATTTGGCTAAATACGACACAACTGCTTTCATAATTTTTCTGAAAAGATTTCTGAAAATCTATTTCATAATTGCTTTGTTCGGCAAAACACCCACTGGTTTTACGACAAATAAATAACTGTATCTCGCAATAATTATGACATACATTATTATCTGCAATACCACAGAAATAAAGCGCATGATTGGGTCGACCACCAATGATGCCAACACACTGTGGTAATTGAAAAAATGTCTGAAAAACTAAAAGTACTAAAATGTCACAACTTGTTTTTACCTTCTACTTCTATCTTTCACCATCTCAATTTACACACATTGTGGGCATAAAACGTTATTCTAGCCCAGCTATAGTCTTTAAAATAGGCCACACAGCTCTGAAATCATATCTTTCCCTAATGTAGAGCAGAAGAGTCGTGAAATTTAATTTTTTGACAAATATAAGTAATTCCTTAAAGGAATTCTATGAATGAGGCATTTCTTACAAACAGAAAATGCTGCTAAAAGATGTTTCTTCATTATTTATCGCTTTAGAGATTTCTTACATTTTCAGTGATTAAACGAACAGAAAAACAAAACCTGAATGGCAGGAAAGTAACAATGGTTGATTGTATTTAAGCCAAGTCTAAGTGGAATGATGATCAGCAACGGTCGCCAATCTTCGCTGACACCACTGTAACTGCTTACCGAAGAGGTTTCACTTCGTGTTGGAGATCGAGTTAATTCTGGTAATATCTCCGCTTCTGTAAGATTGACCAAGTTATTTAGCAATTTTAGTTACTTTATGAAAGCTGCAATTCAAAATATTTTTAAACGCCTTTTTCAACATGAACGTGAATGAAATAAGCATTTACCAGCAGGATTAATAGCATCATGATTATCATTATAATCACTTCCTGTCTCACGCCGAGACCTATAACAAATCAAAATTTCAGCTAGGCAACTGATAAATAATGCCAAAATGAACAAAATGACAGCCCCTAAGCCATAAAAGTTATGTCTTAAGCATTTAATTTACAGTAACTCTTTGCAAAAATCAAAAATGCAGTGAAAGCTTTAAAAATTTGATGCAATGAAAATTAAAAGAATGTGTCAAAATATTAGTTTAAAAAATTGATAGAAGTTAAAAGTACCCAGGTTTTGGGTGAGGAGGTCTAGTAAAAGCCATAGTGCGTATATCGCTTGTTATTAGAACATTATCAAGAGCTACATGCACTGCTAGTCGTGACCACTGATCGTATATGACCAACTTTTTTAGAACCTGGGCTGCCGTGTTCGGACCAAACCATTCTCCAATTTCCTTGCCTTCGGATACTCCCATATGTGCTATAAATGGCACAATTTGATCTCGAAATGCCAGAATATGGACAAAAATTAAATCCGAATTTTAAATATTGAGTATTACTCGTTAAACTATGAGAGTACACTAAACCCGGAACTATACAACAATTCATGCACTTCGTGACGCTTCAATATATAGAAGCTAAATTTTTACACATTCCATTTTCGAAGTTACAATCGAACTTCAACCTAACCCTCGAATCCAGCAACCTTTTAAGTTTTCTAAGTTAAAAGAATAAGCAAAGATAGTTAAAAGCAATAATTAAAATATTGAAAAAAAATGATCAATTTTACCTATTTGATGTATTGAAAAAAGGCAATTCTTTTTATCCTGAAACATACGCAGAATGCGCTTGTATTCTGCCAGCTTAACATCTCGATCCCAAAGCCAATTACGACCCAGATGTCGCACTATCAAAACTCGAGCCAACAACATTTGACCACATCGCAGCATGCATCCCCAACCTTGATCAGTTGTTGGCCCAGTGCCACCTATAACAAAACTAAATTGGCAATTAATAGAAGTAAACGGACATCGAAAAAGATCATGATATGCAAAAATGAAGCAAACAATTAATCATGCTGCGTAAATAAAAAACAGCAAGCATCAATTTTATTGGACACGCCATGGGTTATCAAACCTAAATAATCATAACTTACCAATGGGTTGAAAATTTTTCCGGTATGTAAACCATAACAATGATGATATAAATTCTTTGATGCGTCCCATATCTACAATCAGAAAGTAAACGAAAAAATAAATAAGTCTAATAAAAAAGAAAATAAATATGTCACTATATATATATTGCTAACACAAAACTAAGTGAGCAATATTGAATTTATTTCAATAGCTTTTACATGAAATAATAATAGCAAAATAATAACAAGAAAAGTGAATTTAGAAAATTTTTACTTTTTTAGAAAAAATTAGTCCCCATTTAATGATAGCTTATTATTGGCTATAACTACTTTCGTTTTCTCAGCAGCAATAAGCATGTCTCTAGAAATGCTCGCATTTCAATCAATATTGATGTCCAGCTTCAAATCTTAATTTAATTTGAAAAGTCAATTTTAATCTATTTGAAAAGAGTTCCGCTTTCCCCTAATGTTATAGAACAATATATTTGCGGTTGATTCAAGTAATGACTTAGTTAACCTCCTCTTGATGTGAATTTCTCGCCTAAAAGATAAACTGGAAGATTTGAGTCAAATAAAGCATAGTTTTGAGCATCCGAAAAGCCCGGATCCAACGTAAGATAAGTTTCCAACATTTTGCTCACTGTAGGTTTCCAATCCGCAAATAATCGCCTGGAAGAAAATTCTCAAAAATTTCAAAAATCCGTTAGAGAAAAAAATTGATATTTGTATTTAAAAAGGAAAATCTCTACCATGCCTGTCAGTTTTCTTCTTTAAATTCCTTTAATTACATGTTTCTTTTGTTTGAAATTAGTGTTCGACCGTACCGCACCTAATTAAATAATGAATGTGTATCAGGCAATCAAATCACTTTTCAAATAGATGAAAATTTCAACTAAAATTCATCAGAAAAGAGTTTAAATAAAGGTTGAACTCATAGCTAAGCTGTGTAATACATATTAGATAATCTAACATGGATATCGGAATTTTACGTACAATTACCGATACTTTATACGGCTTATCGCGAAAAAATAACGGTGAAATTGTGATACGTAATATATACTGTCTTATTTTTCTTCCTCACTGATTCAGAGATAATTAAAGTTCATTAATTACTCAAGCTTAGATCATTCTAACCAAACTAATTATTTCTTTATCTGCAAAACAATAAGAGGTGTAGCAGTCATCTATGATCATTATTGTAGAGAAGATAAATGAATTAAACGCTATGAAACGATATAATCTTACTACCAAAAATAAATATTTCATAAGAAAATTATAAGCATTTTCGAGAAAAGTGCATAGAGAACTTCACGATAACAAATAAGCAAAATATGAATCGCCTATTTTTTATTTGAAATTGAAGCAAAATTTTACTCGCAATGTAATGTCATATAATCATGTTAAATTATGTAATGTAATGTGAGTAGGTGAATAAAACTTGTCCTATATCAATTGTTCCATGACATTTCTAAAGAAACATTCCCGCATCTCACAACTTCCTAATGATGTGATAGTTTTTTAATGAAAGGTGTGAAATGTAGAAAATAACGATGATAAGGGAGAAAAAGAAAGAGAGAGACATACTTCGCTTCTTCATGTACTCGCTCTTTTTTTAGCCTTAGTTCGGCTAACATCACCTGATAATAATAAATTGCTCCTGTTGACCATCAAATGTTGCCCGTGCGTTATCAAAAGTTTTGTTTTACTGCTGAAAAAATGTAAAGGATGGAATAATACAGAAGCACACGTTGTATTTTTAACATTTCAAATAATTTTCATTACTTCATACGTAAGCCTTTACGTCTAGAACACGTTAACAATAATAAAATTCCACTAGAAGATTTTCAAACGTATCCACTCGCTGTGGAACAAAAAAAGAAAGGAATACGTACAATGGATACATATTTCCTCTCAGTAATATCCTTAATTTGGACTATTTTCTTGTCTGTTCGTCTAATCTTCTCTATTTCCCCTCTGCCTATCCCCCTTCCCCTCTTCCCGTTTTGCTATGTTGTGAAAGAAGGAGACACTTCGTTACTATTGCAACGATTTTCCATTAAGACCCGACCATTTTAACGTGAAATTATTTTCCATTGAAATGATTCTACGCGTATTACGCGGTTCCGTTGATTTCTGCTATTTGTTGAGTATGATTTTTAATTTTTAACTTTGGCGAACTTTTCGATATTTGCTTCTTTTCTCTGTTTCAATGAATTTATGGCGCTTTTGTAATCTGGAATTATGAGCACGATATTTGAGAAATGGATAATATTTTTGTTCGTATTCTCGAATCCTGAAATATTTTCAGGTTGTTCTGGTTGTAAAAATTGATAATTCCAGAGGTTGGGCAAAGCGAATTAAATGATATTGTAGTCATATGAGCGAAATTAAATGGTATTGCATTATTTTCATACTTCCAAATGAAAGATTTAGACTTAGGAAAGGAAGGATTTAGGAATTTATGGTGAATGAGGTTGTGTTGGATTGGTATTATAAATCTTCCAACACTGAAAATTTCACGGAACTTATTATATTTCATGAAATTTGCATAAATTTTATAAAATTCACAAGATTTTGAACATTTCAGGCTTTACTGGGTCATCATATACTTGCCTCATTATTCACCTTTTTTTTCTTGACCAAAATTCGCAAGAGATTTTCATTGGTCGAGATTATCCTATGTGACCGGTTAGTTCTTAGTCTTTTGAGTAGTATTAACTTTCCCTTCACTTTTTCTCTGATGGCTCCGACCAAATATAGTTTAGTGTTATTTCTCTCTGTTTTTCAATCTGCAAGTTACATGGCTTTTTAAACAACACTGACCTACTTAGTGACTTTTTTCTAACATATATTCAATTTTTGCTTTTGCAGTGCAGCTCTCTACTTCCAGAATGTATCTTTTATATTTTTCACTAAAATTTCGGGAGAAATATTTCAATCTGACCTTTGCTTATTTCAGCATTAATCCTTTTCGCCCTTCCGCTTCCTGTTTTTGATCCATTACCTTCTGTTTGTCCGTCTGTGCATTGTCATCGTTTGATAACATCTCAGAAATTTCCAATTCTTCAGGTTACAGCGATATTTGCTGCCATCAAATGCTATTTTAAGGCAAGCATCTCAATCCCGTTCAGTGAAAAATCGAAAGCGTAAGCATCCACGGTAGTGTTTATTCCTTTGGTATTAAATTGATCTTTTTAATTCATTGTTGATTTGATTTGGTTTCTGGGATAATCTTCTGATGTCTTTTTTTTGTTTATGCAGCGATGAAGAATCTGATGCTTTGATATTGAAAAAGATAGATTTGAATTTGATGACAATTCCGGTGAATATCGCTGATTTGCAACGTTTGCAGTTTTATGAAACATTTATTTGGTCTGCTGACTTTCTTGGCTTTACTTTAGTAAGTTGAGGTTGCAATATCTTAGCTTTAATTTGTTATGAATGTATTTTTTTTAAATTTGTTACGCGATACTTGACAGAATTATAAAAGGATTGGAAAGTAGTAGCGACAGACACAAAGAGAATAAAAATGTACAATGAGATATCTGCCTCAAGTAAGCTTAATTTCGTTCACTTAACTGTTAGTTAGCTTTGTTTTGAAGTAGCTATTATTTCTGGCAATAGTGGAATTAGCTTTAGTTTTCGAACATAAAGCGTTTCTTCGCTTATCATTGCAAATAAATAAAAAACAAAACTTCTTTATACAAAAGAAGTTTTTTTTTGTATGAAGAAGTTTCTTTTTTTATGAAAGGATTGGAAAGTAGTAGCGATGTTTAATAATACAAAATTAATATTATTAAACACGAAATTATTAAAAGTGAAAAATTATTAAGCAGTGCTGTTAACGACTGTAATCAAATAGGAATGAATTTTTCTAGTTTATGTAGAAATTGGGAAAAGTATAAATGGAATTGCTGTAACAAAAGTTTTCTACAGAACCCTTGTAATATGAGATACAATCATATAAGGAAAACAACCAAAGCAAGATTTATGGATAAGAAATAAGCATGTATCATAAGTGAATGCTCTCGTACTACTAATATAGTTTTGCTATGTTCCTGAGTATTTGTTGCCTGTGTTAAATTAATTCTCTAGATTTGTAGGTATCTTACGTTATAAGCGAATTCATATGCTTTATCTTTCCAAACAATACAGATTTTAATATTTCCATCATATGGTTACTCTTTTCGGTATTTTTCCTACTCCAGGTATGAATTATTTTCTTTTTATTTATAAACTGTTAAGAATTGTATTATGGTGGCAGAATTTTTGAGTTATTTCAGAAACAGATGAGCTGCCTAATTTTATCGTGTAAGATAAGCTTTTAAATTATAGAGATTTGCTGAAAAGAACTCTTCGGCAAATGAAATTATTAGGATTCATTAGGAAATGTTATTTTAAAGAATGTCTTATTTAATGAATTTTCAGGCACTGACTTTAATAGCAGCCACATACTTTACAAGTAATGTTGCCATCGGAGAAAGAAATTTGGTTATTTCGATAGCGTTTTTGTTTTTCTTGTTCTCATTAATGTTAATTATGTTCGCGGAGCGTCTCTTTGATACGCCCGTGAATAAAGGTAATTTATTAAGTTTTCAGCACGAAAAGATAAAAAGGTTCTTTGATCGTGATGAAACCGGTAATTGCGTTAGCAGTTATTTTCAGTTTCAATAATCTAGTTTTGAAATTGTTAATTCCAGCATTTGATTCGCTGAAAAATGCAACGACAAAATTTATGGCAGAAAGCCGAGTTCCAGATTCCATGTCCCAACATTCGCCACTTCTCTTCTTTATCTCTTTGGCCATCATGTTGGCATTTTTTGCTGCTCTGCTTGTTTTTCCTGGTTTTAGATATGCACGCATGTATTCCGACGTTGTTAAAAGTGCTGAACGACCATTTGATAAGTAAGGTTCTTAAATATTACATCCAAACATTTCTATTAATATTCTGCACATAGTAAGCGTTTTTGCGACCGCGTAAATGTTTTTGAATTTTTCTGAAAATTTTGATCTGATGTTGTTTAGCTGAATTTGCCATGAATACACTTATATCTATGATGTTTGATCATTATTTTCAGGATTGAATGTTAGTTATAGGTATAGCGTTAAGGTAGATTTTAATGAGCCGCATTATTACCTTGCTTTTTAATAATTTATTACATTTTCATTGTCGACATTTGCTTTATGGAGAGAGAAAATTTTCTTCAACATAAAAGTTCGTATTTGCCAATCTCGTTGTTTATTTACAAATTTTAGAGTGGGATAAATGAGCTGTTTAGAATAGCAGGCAAGGGAAATGCTACTTTAACATTGCACCTTATGATCCTCTACCACTGCAAAGATTTATTTTATGAATGATANTTTTATGAATGATATAGATATTCATCCATTGTAACTGTGAATTTTTGTCATCTACATCATACTAATAATATGAGTCATTATTTCAGGATGTTATATCATTTTACTTTTATGTCACAGTTTCTAGCATTATTTTTATATTCTCATCCTGCAAAAAACATTCTGGTTTATGGACCTAAACGACTGTGAGTTCTGTTTGTTTCAAATAAAATTTTTTTAGAAATTTTTCGTTAAGAAAATGCAGGATTTTTTTTGCTATGTGAAATTGTTCTGGATATTAACGTCTAGCATTTGTGGATTGCTAAGCTGCTTAATTTATATCATCTGTAAAAGAATTTCTCTTAGTTATGTCAGCTAACTTTTATTTCTCTTGTTTACAAAATGTAAAATGTCATAAAAATCATTAATATGCGCATTTTACATTACCTTTTTGGTTTTATGATATTTTCAGGCTGAGTGAATCTCAGATGGACATAATGCGTATATACATCGTTATTCTAACTGCAGTATTACGCCTTTTTCTCTATCGGCCTCATTTGCAATCATTTCTAGATCAGTCTCTGATCGCCCTTTCCAAAATCCACCGCGAAAGTGGTTGGATCAAGACATCAGTGCTGCAAATGAAGGTGAGCTGGATGTTTGTAAACTTTCAATTTTGGTGGAGTGAGCCATTGGTGGAGCGAATAGAGGAATTAATTTTTTTCGAGGAAGTTATCAATTTTTAAATTTTTAGTTCCATTTTTTTGTCATTTCATATTATTCTCACAAAAAAGCTATTTTCACCTACCTTTTAGGTGCAGCGTTATTTCTATTTTTTCAATATTGCTGCGTTGCACTATTTTGTACCACCTCTTCTACCAGTGCTTTATGCTCTAATATTGAAAACAACATGTGAGTTTTGCAATAAATTGTAGAGTTATTAATTTGAATATTGAATAAAATTTTTCGTCAGTTCATAAAGAATGAGATATAAGACACGGAACAAAAAAAAAAGATTTTCTGATTTTATGTTTTCTGGAATTTAAAATCTAAATTTTCGAATTTAGGCGGTATTTCATGGACTGGAATGAATGACGAAGCTGCTCATTCACAAATGCTGTCTACGATTCCTACAGGTTCATTACGAGCGCTACTAAATGCCACCGTGCACCGAGGACTTTGGTCAATCTTAATTGTTGCATCACTTAGCACTAATGCAGCTTTCTCTCTAATGGGTCTTGTTTATGTTCACCGTTTCGAATGGTCATAACGTTAATGCTCAAAATTATTACTCGCTTGACATGAGCTTTCTGTTAATTTTTACACTGAACTAAATTTTTTTTCGTACTAGATTGCAGTGAATATTGTGGTACCTTCAAAAATACCGTCCATCTGTATGACTTATTATCAGTTAATTTATCTCATAATTAATGCAGTAGCTACTCCGAGTTTGGTTCAAGTTGCAGAATCTAAAATAATAATTGTTTGTCAATGCATTATGCCCATACTAATTCATCGACTTGACGAGATTCTATTTGATACATGTACTTTTATGGGAGCATTTCAAAATATGCCGTAGATTTCAAGCATTTCATTTAGCGATTTTTTTGTGATTAGAGTTCTGTTGTTTTTGCTTGGATTTCGGGTCTAGAATTCGACGTGTCGGTTTATTGTTATTTTTGTATCCTTTTTGTTTAGTTTTCCGTTATAGTTTACAATTTTAAATATAATATTATGATAATTATAAAACTATAAGCTGCATTATGATAATACTGAGTATTATTTAAATGCGGGTTAGAGATATCGTGTTAAAATAAAGTAATTATATCAATTAAATAAAAGATGCATTGTTATATTCATTCCTCTTTATATTATTTTTAGTATGGATTGATATCTTGTATTTATTTTTTGGATAAATTTTCAAAATTATTGTTTAGGATTTTTGTACTGTTGCCTTATCATACAAGATCTTGAGGTTTGATATGTTTTTATTGAATTCCAATACCATCTAAGATTTGATCTGTTAGTTTTTGTATCACATATTGTGCAAGTTTAGCTGAGAATGACGGAAGCACTCTCTTTAATGTACGGAATCGATTTGCCAGCTAGAAGTATTGTTGGGCTTCCAGCGGAGCAAGAAAGGACTTTATTTCTTGTTGGTACTCTATCGTTAAAACAGGACAATCAGGCAAGTCTCAGTTCGTGTAGTCTTAAAGTGGTAGAAGTTGAAATAATATAGTGAAGTTTGTTGTTTTTCAGTAATACCAATTTGAACGCTCTATTTCATGTTTGTAGGACAAATAATTGGGTGATGACTTCTTGCAAATATTTCAGATAAAATCCTTTACTGATATTCTTATTCATTTTCGCAGCTACCTGTACAAATATTTTTTACCATATTTTACTCTCAGTCAGACTTGGTTTTTTTGAGGTTTGTTTGTTGGAAGTCGATGATGACTGGCTTCAAATTACCAAGCGGTCATTTAATCATCCTGCCGGTGAAATTTGGTTTATGTCGAGTTCGCCCGTTGATTCGAACGTCGTTGCCACATGTTATGTTTCTTGTAAGTATCTGATCATTATCATTTTCTAGACCAGAATATATATAATACTGATATGAGACGGACATAGAAAGGAGAGGTTACAGTTGTTAAGAAAAGCAATTAGTATGTTTTCGAAGGTTGAAAGGGCTAAGTTTTATAAAAAAAGAAATCGAAATAACCTTTTTAGACTAATAAATCTTGGGAACAAATATTCATCTGGCAAGATCACTTTTTTCGCATGCTTATTTTTCAAATATTCCATTCATATTCTTCTGGTAAAAAATATGTTTTTCGGGGATGACACAATACGAAGTGGTGTTGGTTTGTGGAAAATGAATGATGATGAATCGAATCTTGTTGAGCTTGTACAATATGCACCCCCTCCTAAAACTGGAAGATGCATTTCGTAAGTTTGAATGTATTTATTAGAAAAGAAATGAAAACTGATAGTTCTTATTAGATTACTACGTGTTTTTAACCAAATTTTGCATAACATAGCTTTTTAATAAGACCTTGATAGCTGCCTGCTCTTTAATGTAGATTATATTGTGATGATGCACACAGAAGTTCTGCATAAGTAAGTCCCTTGGGAGGCAAATTTCTTGTTGTAGTCCGTCACATTTATTCTATTTAATCGCCACTTCTTTATGATTTGAATAACATTGAATATTATTCGATATTTTTTCTAAATTCAAATTTTAGACGAAATTTTCATAAATTTTGAAAGTTTCAAACTGGAGAAAAATTTGTTTAAAGTTAGCCTACACAGCCCACGTTTAACTGTTTGCACTATCAGTTCCTCCAGTCATATGTGTTTGAGTAGTTTAAATATTCTTTGTCACCTTTCGACTATATAAAATTTATTTCAAGAGCTGAATTCCATCCGAGTGGTAACAAAGTGGCAATTGCTGTTAATAATTCTGTGTTAATGGCAGATGTGACCAGCTCACTGAAGGTTTTTTATCCTTTTTTTTTCAAAAATTTCCTTTTTTTATTATCTGAGTTGTTTGACTGTGTATCTTCGCTCGTAGAAGCCGGATTGATCTAAATTCCTTGTGTTTACGCCTTTTGAAATGGCTATTCCTACTTATAAATTTTTGGGAAAGTTTTTATTTTATCATGTTTTAATATTTTATGATTTCTGTGTCTTGCACCTTCTGTCTGTCGGTAAAAATTTTGTTTAAATATTTAGATTCTAATGTGACCGATCCCATCAAGTTGTAGGTGGTTATTTTCAAATGAGTTGAGAGATTTTACTGTTAAATAACTCCTACGGGGTTTTTCTTGCTCTAAAAATATGACAACATTTAAATTGGAAGTTACTGTTTTATGACTTCAAAATTCTGAAAAACGTCTGATGTTTACAAATTGATCAATTTGTATATCAGTGATTAAGTTTCCTGAATTGATGTTCATCAGAAAGATTCAGATAGAAAGTTCTACATCGATTGATGGTAAAACACCAATAAGCGCATCAGTATGGAATCCCCATTCAAATGGAAGTATCTTAGCAGTAGCGTATGATACATTGGTGAAGGGAGTTGATGTTCGTAGTTTCCAGTAAGTCTGATATCGTTAAATTTTTTATCAGATTTGATCAGGGGCGTCTTTTAGGATTTCCTAGTCTCAAAGAAACGCCTGGAATTTCACAATCTAAATAAAAACCAGTTCCATTTTTTTTTGATGCATAGATATTTCGTAAAAAATCAGTTTGAATTTTTTCAGGGAAGCGTTTTGTATTAAACGTGTAAATTCACCTCGTGTCAGAAATTTGGATTTCAACCCCAATGTGCAGCACATTGTAGCAACTTGTGGTGACGATTTCAGAGTGCTATTATGGGATATGCGCAAAGTGGATATGCCTTTGAAAGTTTTACAAGATCATTCGCATTGGTAAGTCTCTATTTCGATATCAGTTCTTGAAGTGATTAGCTCTTTGTCTTCACAAATTCAAGTTTCCTCATTTCGGTAAACCAAATATGTTTGCTCCTTCATATAACTATTAGTATGGTTCTAAGTTCCCAAGTTCCATTCTTGTTATTTTGTTTTTTGCTGCTCTTATACGTTATTTTATTTTTTTTGCGGCTGTTATACTTCCATCAAAACTATAGCTGATGTTTAATAGTGAAATGTATTTCTATGCTGAAAGAAAAATTCATTGTGCGATAATAGAAATCATGAGTCAGAACATCGAAATTTATTACATAAAGTGACTGTCAAAATCGACTATTAGAGCTATCAAAATCGAAATGTACTTTAAATTTCAAATTTTTTCCCTGTGTTTATAGGGTGTGGTGTGTCAAGTTCAATCCCATTCATGACCAGTTGTTGTTATCAGCAGGTAGCGATGCTAGATTGTTTCTGAATAGTTTGGCATCTCTGAGTTCTGAATCTATCCATTCTCTTGTATTGGTGCCAGATGACAGCTACTCTTCACCCGAAAAGTAACTGCTTTAAATTCAAAATGAATATCTTCTGTTTATGATCAGTTGCATGAAATCGGCGATTGGTTCGAAAAAAAGTTGTAAACAGCTAAATTTTGATGGGATTCAAATTTTTACAGGATTTTTAACAATATTTGCATCACTCGTATACAGTACTTACCTTTTCGCCTTAGTGTTTTGCTATTTATTAATTACCCAAGAATTATCTTTTCAGTGTTTTGGGTGATGAACGTTTAGAAAAGATGGAAGAACATGAGGAGTCGGTATATAGTTGTGCATGGGCTAGTAACGATCCGTGGGTTTTCGCTTCAGTTTCTTTCGATGGTAGAGTAATTGTTTCAAAAGTAAAACGACATCATAAATATGCCATATTGCGGTTATAGCAAAAGATTAATAGTGGTAAGAAATTATAATGTTATATTGTAATTGTTGTAATATGATTTGGAATAGGATTAGGAAGATATATTTCTGCTCAATTACTTTAAAAATGAAATTTTTTGATCCTATGCTTTGATATATTCTGTTCTAAATTCTTCGTTCTATAAATTTACTTCTAGTATTTATGCTTTAAAATTTCGGTTTTTCGCTTTCAATCATTTTTTGATTTATTTTGACTTTAAATTCAGTGTTACTTATTTTATTTAATTCATTTTGAAGCAAGTTGCGGTTTATCGCTTTCAGTCCCTGCCTTTTTTGAATAGTATTCCTGTAAATTGTTGATTTATTGTCCACAAGACGCGTTAATTTTCTACCTTAGTCAAATTTTTCAGTAAAGAAATTATTAAGATCTCGGCGAGTTTCAAGGGAAGCAGAAAACTTGAATATAAATCACTGATTGATTCCAGAGGTTGACGTGCCATCTACCTACCATTTGTTATAGAATATATGTAATAGTTTTTAAGATTTCTGCTTCCTCTTATCTCAAATAAATAATTTTATATACTCGCAGTTTTCTTTTATTACCAGTACAATCATACTATTTGTCTCGTCATTTAGATTTGATGTATTCATGAGATCATTCATATTTATTAGTGCTTAAATACTTTTCGCTCAGTACATTTGCGGTCCTATCCTACTTCTGCTTTCATAATTAAGTTGTGATATTTATTCGGTAAAAAATTGATCTGAGAGAATGTTATTAAAAAGCATGGATGTATTGCGATGTGGGATGGTCAAGTTTTGTGAGGTCATAAAAATATGTTTGGAAGAACTTGCTTCTGATTCCTAGAAGTTTTCATTTCATTTTGAACTTTTTTTTTGAGTGCAATGTTGCAACAAATTCAAAGCAACCATTATCATTGAAAGTTGATCTGATACTTTCAACTCTCTCAGAAGGTTGATTGTCTAATATAATAATGCACAGGAAGCAAATATCAGATTAAATTACTTAATAAAATTAGTGAATATAGTTTTAAAATGAGGCAGAGAGAGAAGAATCAATGGAGCGTAAATAATCCGGTATGAATTGAGTATCCTTCATAATTTTCTCGTGATTTATTTTACCTTACATTGGAATTCAATCAGGTAGGCATCTTTCAATAATGATAAGATTATTATATTAAGATGAAATCCACGAAGTTTCTACGAAGATGATTTGTACGTGTACGCAAAATTCAATCTGGAATATGTATGTCTTTACTAAGACTTTAATTTCTTTTCATTAAAATAGAATGACAGTCAAAAAAATGAAGAAAAACACCGAAGGTTATTACTTTCGAAAGATTTGTTAAATTATTTAACAATTGGATCAGAATATGTTATAGATTATAGTTCCGTGTACTGTGTAACGTAACAAGTTACAGTGATTTATTATCATTTGAAGGAGAGATGAGATTCTAAATGATTTCTGTTGTTATGTAGCGTTTAATAACCCGGAGCAAGACGTGCTGGTGGACAGTGATCGCAGCTTCCTGGTGCACCTGGTTGACCTGGCTCACCTGGTAGTCCCGCTTGTCCAGTTGGACCTGGTGGACCTGCAATTTGTGTTTCATCAGTAGCTTGATCAAATTTTGGTTTTAAATTCTGCATTCTTTTTTCAGTGTTCAAATTAGATAAACATAGAGGTGAAAGAATTCATGAATGGCAAATACATGTTTATGTATCACTAAACTTACCACGTGGTCCTGGTTCTCCTGGACCACCGGGTATTCCATTTTCACCATCTCTGCCTGGTGGTCCAGGTCGGCCAGGCTGTCCTGGTGAACCTGGTCGTCCTGGTTGTCCTGGAGGTCCTGGTGGTGGCCGCTCTCCTGGAATAAGTTTACCAGGTTCACCCGGTGGTCCACGTTGTCCAGGCTGTCCATTTTGACCGGGTGCACCTGGTGGTCCTGCTGGTCCCTGAGGCCCTGGTGCTCCGTCGTCGCCGTCTGAAAGAAGTATGTATGTATAGAAATATTTACGCTATTTAGAAGTATATAGTTCAATAAGCGTCATAAGTCGAACTTACTTGGTCCAGCATTTCCAGGTTGTCCCTCAGGTCCAGGTGGACCGGGTGGTCCAGCAGGTCCAGGTGCAGCCTGGCATGGGCATTGCGGAGGCACTGGTAGCAACCGGTCGTGGAGATCGGCATCTGGACCTGGTGGTCCAGGTGCTCCAGGACCCTCGCCAGGTGCACCATCCCTTCCCGGCGCACCTGGTTGTCCATCTGGTCCAGGTGGTCCTTGTTGACATGTGCAACATTGAGCTTCAGCTTGACGAGTAGCACGAATGAGTACATCAAGTGGTCCGTTATTCCTTTCCTCTCCCATCTCCACCATCTCCTTCCACATGTCGCGTGAACGCGACTTGCAATACTCTACTTCACTCTAAAAATTACAGCGATCCGAAAATGTGAAATTTTTAGAATTTAAAAAATTTCTACCATCTTAAAAACTAACCTTATATACTCTCAAACTCTAACTGGAACGGGATAATTGGATTTTTTAAAAGTTTTTTTAACCATTTAAAGTGAATTTATTAATGAAAGAAATTTTTTGAAAAGATGTCCAAAACCAGATTCTAATTTTTCACTGCTTTTCACTCCTTATGGATCTCTTTTTTGCCCTCATTTTTTCTTATTCATTATTATATTGGATAAGAATGAAAACTGCTCCGAATAAAATACATTTTTCTAATGCAAAATTTGTCGAAGACCATATTTGTCCATCTTTCTTCCTCTTTTTCCGTATATTTATCCGTACTTTGTATCATTATTCCTAATTTATTTCAGAGATGACAGATATAACTTCTCCGACGTTTTCTTTTCCCTTCTAACTATCTCCTTAACTAAAACATTCATTTGAGAAACTCTTTTATTATTTAACCTTCCAAATGCTGCATTTATGTAAGTTCTTAAATATTGAAGTATATTTAAAATGTATTTAATTATTTACTAAAATATTTTTTTTCTAATTTCCCTTAGCAAATTATACGAAATTTATGTGAAACAAAACTATAACATAATTTCGTAATAATTATTATTTCATTGGAAAAAAAAGTGCAATATTTCAAGTTTTCTGAATAGTAAATTTTAAATTTCTTTTAAAGTAAAGTAATGAAAGTTTCTCGAAAATAAGAGGAAACAATCAACAAAATAAATGAACAGAAAACGAAATCCAGACAATTTTTTCAATTCACAATTACCTGTACGGTTGCTTGTAATGTTTGAACATAATAGAAAACCATAGGAAACGTGAAAATACACGCTGTTACGGCTACCGTTGAAAATACGACAGCCGCAAAAGCAACCGAACGTAACGATGTTTTGTTCGCCATGTTTTATTATTCATGCAACTGCTACATTTATCTTTATGGGGTCTTTTATACAATGAGTATATATGCCGCGTGGAACCGGTATGGACGCGATAGCGGAACGAACTGGTAGGGGATCACCATATTGTTCGTTTTGATGAAAACCTACCATTACCCTGACTACGTTCATATGCATTTTTCATCCAATCCTCTCATATGTTTCATACATTTGCACATCTTGGGTTGAATTTCACAAGCATTCGTTCAATTTACATAACGCTGATAATCGTGATGGTTCTGGGAAATTCTAGAATACTGGTAATTAGTTCAGCAGATAGCAAATATCTTCAATTGAAAGCATCAACTGTCACAAATATTATAATCTGTCTTAGAATAAAATCGGCTTAAATAAAATTTATGAATTTTTAATTCCAATTTTGAATTTAATTTCTAGCCTTATCATTGTTTTGCATTTAATTTCTAGCTTAATTATTTTGATATAATTAGTAGAAGCTAATATTTTACTATGTTATTTATGCAATTTTTTTCCTTTCTTTTATCGTCCATTTCTTTTGTCAAAAATTTCTTCCTATCAAAAGGAAGAAAAAAGTGAATGCCTGCATCATAAATTAACAGATCGCATCAGATCGAATTGAATTATAGATTTAATCAAAATCGCCATTTTACTTTAAAATCAATCATTTCATGATTGGATTAATTATTCATTATATCACAAAAAGAGATGAATGTTTAAATGCATTCCACATGAAGAAAACTTGATTTCAATTTTTCTTTATAATATATACATTAAAATACATTTTATGAATGATAATTGAGACGGTTGTTGAACAATGATAATAACAATGATAACTCTCTTATCCCATACAGAACCTTTTCAATATTCGATATAATATGGTGTTTAAATTTTAATTTCAAATTTCATCCCTATATATATATATATATAGATTATCAGAAATTATTCAATAGCATTGCCATTTTCTACACAAGCATAAATATTATTATGAATGAGGAGGTAACTTTAATTAATGATATTACGGTAGATGAGCAAGTTGTTACAATGAAAATGTTTTTTTGAAATTAAAAAAACAAAAAAATCTTTCAAATAAAATAAGGATGAGAGAAATGGACAATGCATTCTCCGTTTTATATAAAAAGAAAACTAGCGATAGGTTAGTTTTATTATTACTTCTGGAAAATTGCAGTATAAATATAATATGACAATAAAAATTTGTACCTACACATTTGTCCCTACATATATCATCATCATCATCATCATCATCATCATCATCATCATCATCATCATCATTATCATTTATTGTCTTATCAAGAAAGTCATTGGGAAAATTTTAAACAAATATTTTTGTTGAAGAAATGTGGGAATAATAGTAAAAAAAGAAGAAATTAGAAATTATGTAAATATATATAATATTTAAATGAAACGAACGATAAACGATATTTGAAAGTGAATTTGAATAATTCAAATGAAATTATTTAATTCCCTTAAAAATACGAAATATGTTAGTTCATTGAAAATTGATGGGCGGAAAAAGAACAATTGTGAAAAGAGTAGAAGGCGCAATACTAATGAGATTTATGACATCATTTGGTCTAAAAAATGATTCATTGTGTGATATCAGATGATTCATTGTGTGGAGAAAAATATTTAATGATAATGGTGAAGTGAAAAATCTGAGAAGAATATAAAATTTATGAAATTATTCATCATTTTATGAGTAATACAACGTCATTTTATATCATTCACCTTAAAAGAATTAGATGTTCTAATTAGATAAACGAAAAGATTCTAATTAAAAGAAATTATTCAAAGAATTGGATGTTCTAATTAGATGAATGAAAAGATTCGAACGGTTACTTAACAGCCGGTTCATTGTATATACAATATAATAAAATAATATTTCTCGCTCAACAAATATATATGATAAATAATGATTCATCTAATAAATTAAACAAATAAAATGTATAAAATTTTACTGTTTATGCATATTTTATGTGTTGCATAAATATTTGATAAGAATGATAGAAGATGTCATTTCCATAATTTTCAAAAGATGACGACAATCAGTTGGTATTATGAACTCGTTGAAATGCTTTTCCGTAATGTATCCATATTGCTAATGTCATTGATAGTTTGTGCACTTGTTTCTTGCAAGTATTATAGAAAACCGAAGGTAATTTATATTAATATCAGTCAAATAAAAGATGAAGAAAAAGAAGGAAAAAAGATACTTACATGAGGATTTGTATAAATTTTAATTCATTTTTGAAATATCAAATTATTATTTCTAATTGATAATTGTTCAAACTGCAATCGTTGGTTATAAATGTTTTCATCTTTCAATTCAATTAAATTTGAAGCTTCATTATTATTCCAAATTTTCATAATATTTGCATTGATATATTAAGTGAATTTTTAGGATCCAAAATTCATTGATGAAAATGACCCTCATGCTAAAACGTTGTATAATATTAAAACCGATATTGCGTTCCCGAAAAGGGTATTGAAAGAAAAGCGGCAAGAGCCTCGAACAGATATGATCGCCATGAGTTGGAGTGAAGAATATGAAAGCAACATGCCACCATCTCTTTCGCAATCATCTCCCCCAATATTCTTAAATTCCAAAAAATACTTGAAATTGAAGAGCTACGGCGATGTGCAAGAACAAAGTTCATTAGACCCACAAAATCCACCACTATCGCAACAGATGTCGCTTAGGTTACAAAATAATGCAAACGTATCTGTTACCCAAAGAACATGAACAACGAGGAAATCCCGCATTCATTTCTCTTGCGATTCATTTTCATGTAGTAATCTCGAAAATTTGAACTCAATAATTCGAATAATTTTTCTTCAATGAGATCATTGAAAGATTTCAAAAGTTTTATTAATCTGATTTTCTTGCAAGAAATTGTCGTATGTTCTGTAAGTTAACTTTTTGTCAGTACCCTTTGCAACCGTAATCAGTGCAGTTCTTAATTTAACACTTTTTTATAACACGAACAACTTTATATTTGGGATTACACATGATAAATTTCTTAACCTTGCCATAAAACCTTTACAAACATGTAATCCCACCGATGTGTACAAATACTAACACCCCAATAGCACCAAGCATCGTAATACGAGGAAAAAGTTCAAAAGCAGCTATATTTTCAGTCTATTATACTATTAATTCTCTTGGACAACGCATTATCATCAGGAATAGTGTGACAGCTGATAAACACTAGGCTCAAACAGTATCATCATGACTGCGCAGTATGACTCTATATCGTGTTGAATAACCCGTACAATCATCAAGAGGAAAATTATTTTCTGAATTTAACCCAAAGTAAAAACTCAATAAGTTGGGGATGGTAATGCAGAGATATAGTTCTTCCAACATCGTTTATCTTGCATGCTAACAGAACATACCGAGAAATAATCAAACAGACAGTAATATCACTGATTTCAAACAAATAACGTCTCAGTTTTGATTGCTTGGATTTTTTGAACTCCACTTTTTTAAATTCATGAAACTTCTCTAATGCAGTAAAATTCATTCTAATGACGAGACTTTCATGGTCAACAAACCATACTCCTAACCACTGTCAAACAAACGATGCGAACAATAACTCACAAGTTAGATTAATTAACAAAACAATTTCGATACTTAATGTTGCTTTTTCCGAAACGAACATCCTTCTGTTAAATGGGCTTTTCCACCAGTCGGCTGGCAAAGTACCGTATTACATCCAACACAAACTACTACCGACTGCGCATGACTGAATACCGTTGTAATTTTGTAACATCCTGGGCACTTTACATCCATGAAGAAAGAATTCGGCTGTTGCACTAGCCTCTTCAACTTACATCGTTCTCGTTCCTTAAAACGAAAATACGTTTTTGAACTTATATGTGAGTTTCAAAAAGATACACAGAATAATGTAATGCCCGGAACCCAGTTAAACAGTTCTGGCAAATGAATTTGTTAAGAACTGTAAACTCAAATAGAACTGTGGCGAAGTTTAAACATAATACAGGAGAAATCAATACAACTTCATGGATTACCAAAACAAGTCTGAACTTGATGCATGCAAAATTTCCATATACCAAATCAACAAAGCGAACCCTATGTTGGAAGAATGAAAATACTGGATAGTCAATCTTACCTTTTGAGGATCTGGATATAGTAAATCTCGCGCCAACGGCATTTTTATATCAGGTGAAATATAATCTAAAAGTACTTGTTCACCTGAAATAATACGATATACGTAAAATTAACTGCTAAGTGCCTATTCCAATTGACTCATCTAGTAGAACCGCATGAAAGTGAAACGAAGTTTCCAAGTTATCTCAAGAAATTGAGGTATTCTCTAAGATATAGAATATTAAGATTCTCTAAGATAAGATTAGAAATACAAAGACATAAACCATGCCCGTCTTTCCACTACACCATCCATATTAGTAGTATTTCTGAAATCTTTCCAAAACAATGCCGCTTGTTATCCTATTTTTTTCACTTGCAACTCTCCTACATCAAAACGTGACACTTCTTAGTCTCTTAAAATGCATATGACAGCACAAGTATGCCATAGGCAGGAAATTTAATAAGAATAAGGATGTCGCTCATGTCGAATTCTTGCTTCGAGTCACCTTAATCGACCTACTTCCGCAAAACCCCACTTACTTGACCTACGCAACCCGTACCATGTCGATTCCCACGACGAGACTCCAACCCATTACAACGCAACCTACCTCAACTCTCCTTCCTCAATCCTTCATATGCCACTACCCTTACAACCCACTGCGACTGCAACACCAAACTTCGACCAAGCAAAGTTCGCACACTGCTGAACACGCGCCAATCCGCCCATTGATGTGAGTTTTGCTGTAGGGACACGACACATGGCTTTCGCCTTTCATTTTCGATGGCTAAGTCCAATGATAAAACCTCGCATAATTTCGTGGTCCAATTTCAAATTATTAAATTATGAAATCCGGAACGAATCCCCCACCCCTTTACAGGTACAGATATAGTGATATATTTTAAGTATCATGAATGACTTAAATTTCACTCTCTGGAACGACAGTCAGCACTTCTCTTTGACTCTTTATTTTAGGAGATATTAAATATAACTGCCGAAGAAATAGAGCAGATTATCACATAAGACTTCTTGAAAAATTAACAGGGCAGACTGAGGACCACATTCTTTACTTAATGAAAATAGAGAACTTGCCGGATTCCTTTTCACCTTATTTACGAGGCAGTTTTTCCTTGACTCACGAATGACACACACACTACACCCAGATGGTAGATGGTCTTATTCAGCGAAATAACAGAACTAAATCTTCAAAATTTCGAATGTTGATCGGATATGTTCTATTTTACGAAATTAAGTTTTAAAAAGAAAAATCAGACTAAATTATAAAACTTATTAAGATATTCCTACCTCATTAAGCCATAGTAATCAGAAAAAATTGAGAGAAAAAACTCATTCCACGATTTACAAGAATTCTCAATAAATGCAACGAAAACTCTTTATTAAGCTTTTTAGATTTCTTACCAATGACATCAAAAAAACTTTCTAGAACACATCTTTTGGAAATTACTGAATTTTAACAGAATCACTGCGAAAATTATCAGGATACACATGTTACACGCCGAAACAAAGATTGAGACTCTTGCGGTGCTAATCGTGAAACTATGCATTTAATACAATCACGTACTAATTGTTCTACAAAAGAGAAACCTGCAACATTACGTTCCGACATGTCGAAAACAAAGTTCAAGTAAAGTTCTGGGCACCATTTTAAGAGTTATGCAAGAAACGAGTGAAAGAATTATAGGCAGTTTCGAGATCGAAAACCATTTGTCTCGCATCTTCATCCGTTATTTCCTCACTTGCGCTCATACTCTTCAGCTTATCGTGCCTAGAAATGGTGAATTACAGTCGCAAAACACTTTTCAACGTCACATAAGCGCCTTCCGGGTTACCGTAATTTAGCGTTTCGTAGTCCTTTATTTCTTTTTAGACTTAACGAAATGTTGACTTAGCTTCACAGGACCACCAGGAATAGTCAAGCAATGATATCTCAGTTAAAACTATTTGCGATTCGTTCACACTCGAAATCTGCGAAATAACCTCAAATGTTCGCTGTGGATGTTTGACTTATTTCACAGACTTCGAGTCGTCTAAATTCGAGGACCATTCCTTACCGCAGATCTTTTCAAAGCACTTTGTTAATAATGGCCAGCCGGATGTATCTAGTTATATTCAATGCAGTAAGAATTTTCTTAGTTTGTTTGAAGTCTCTGGAGCATGTCTAGGAACATAAATATTTATAAGGAATTCGATTTCAATTTGAGAGTCAGGGAAAGACCGACAAGGGTTGAAAATTTTTTGACAAAGTGTTTATCAATGACGGTGATCTCTTACCATTGTATCACCTTCAGCTTTGCATCAAAGTTATTCGGCAATGTAATCATTGAACTGATGGAGATATTCAGTTCATTCAATGTCGGAAATAGCTCATCGACAGCTCGAACATTCAACTTTAGTTGATCCAAGAATGTGATGAACATTTCTACAATCTCTGCAATGCATTTCAATGTATTGCCTTTATCATCTTTTACAGTAATTGGCCGATCTTCACGGATTCTTTCCAACGCTGCTGGACACTCTACACGATATTTCTTCACGAATTCATCGATATCGCATTGTACCAAACGCAGAGCCACCTTCAAACTGAGATTTTATTGAAATATAAATTTTTTCGATTCATGATGAATCTTCCTGTCACACTCAACATTGCACATATGATCTATGCGAAATTTGGCTCTATCTATTTACATTACAATATTGTGAACTGAATGAGATTTTGTAGTTAAACTTATATCGTACATCAGCAGCTGATACAGGAATCTCGAATGAAAAAGTGGAATAAAATGGTTTAAATTAACATAAAAAACATGAGATGTAGTTCGAATCGAACCGAGAGATGACAAATTTTTAAACGTCCGATATATAATGAAAGATAACGAGGAATGTATAAAATATGAAAGATAATTCTCTTCGGAACTATATTTAAATGAGTGTAATTTGATGAAATCTCTGAAATTTTAATTTTTATGTTCATGTTCAAATGTTTGAAGCATAGTTTAGTAAATAAATATTTGAATGAAACTCATCAAGATTTTCAAATTTCAGGGACACACCTTAATTTTCTATATTTAACTAACCTTATATTGCACCAAAAGCTTTGAACATTCAGCAGTATATTCCTTGGCCGGAATACAATCACGGCTAAAGACCTTTTCTAAACATTCCAAGGCGTTTAAGACGGCGTATAATTCGCTCATATTATCGACTCGTTCACGTTCCACACCACTTTCATATAAACGGACTTCTTGAAGCAAATCAGGATTCACGTCACCGCCAACGGTACCACTACTACTGGTGCTAGCACCTAACATCTTCGTCACACTAAACTAATGGGACATTACTGAAGACACAAGTTGTTTATTCTGAAATGCAAATGCCACCGGAAAGTTTAAAAATTCTTCCGAAAAATTTTATTTGCTTTAGTGCGATGTGCGGTCCCCAAAATCTTTATGAGCTTTCCGAATTTCCTATAAATACATCCAAAATTTTCGGATTTTCAAAACCTGACAATAAATTCATGGCAAACGGAAAATGTAAAATAACTAACAAAAAAGCGCCACAAACACAAATAAAACAAATGGACGGAATGTAAACAACAAATGGACGGAAAAGCGGACGAAAACAACTATTTCCGATTGCCTCCAAGAAGATTTTAGTATTACTCGACTATAAAAACAAGAGAAATCTCAGCAGAAGCCCGTCTAACAATCATACCGAAACATCTCAGTTTCACACTGGCCACATTTCGCTCTGATTTCAAGGACACTATTTTGGAAATGATTTGAGAAGGATAGGGCATCCCGCGGGTTGTCTTGAAAAAGTCTCAGAGGGAGGTTACATTGAAAGTAGTGCTGCCGAATAAGACTGGTTTATTACCGATGGTTGGAGGAAGTAGTCAATGATATGGATTTCTGATGTTAGCTAAGAAAATTCACATGACTGCGTGAGAAATTCGTGGCGTATTTTCTCCAATGCATAGGAAATAAATCTCTTACACCATAATATTCTACATAATTTATGGAGGCGTTTTGTGAAGTTTGTTAAAACATTAGAAATTGTTTTAGCATTAGAAATTTACAGAAAAATTACTGGCATTGTTCATGCGATTTCTCACATATGTTTATGTAGATTAAGGTTATAAAGTTGGCATTAGCTAAGTTTTCACGCAATCACGTAAGCCTCTTGCTGCTGACGTTAAGATGTTCCGTATTATCTTTTGCTTCATACAGTTGAATTTATATGAGGTTGCAAACATTTGAGTTGTGCTGAAACATTTTTTATGTATTGATTTCCGAATTTCGAGCTAAAATTTTTGTGAAATAAGAAATATCCCTAATGAGTTTTGCTAAGACTTATTGCTTGCATTCGAATTTATTCAATCATTGCGTAACTGTTTGCAAAGATGTTTCATCTGTTGATTGAGTGATTAGTCACGGTCACATTAAATATTCCATTACATTTTCAAGTCAATTTTCAAGTAATTGAGTTTTTTTGACAGTAATGATTCTTACACGCAATTCGATTATTATACAATCCAAATCGACACCGTATATTGTACGCCATGCAATTCTTTTATCTGCTAAACATCACAATGAATATTGCTGGCAAAAGCAACGAATTGGACAGCGAGCAATTGTAGGACCATCAAGCGGTGGATATGTAAGTTTCTAAATCTTGGGTGTTAAATTTAAATCAATCATTTTGTTTTCCTAGGTTTTCCTTATTAAATCATTCAAAAATTTCAGTGCCAGTATTTTTGTTTACTTAAACGTGTTCAGCGTAATTTTTGAAATGATATTGTCTTTCATTTTTTTTATTAATAGATGATTGATTTTATTAGCTAGCTTTTCTGTTTATTCGTGTTATTTCCATTTTTCGTATGATTAACCTTGTTATATGAGGAATAAACAGCTCAGTTCGACCTTCAACTTATCTTTTTTCGAACTTATCCTTTTTCGTTTCAGCATTTCGTTGACTCAACAGATCGTCCATATCCACCGTTGAGATTTCGAGCCGATGATGAAATTATCAAACCGATTCGTGAAAAGGAAAAGGGTGACTGGAATAAGTTAACAATGGAAGAAAAAAAACTGTTGTATAGATATTCATTTCGGCGAACACAAGCCGAGTTGTTGGGATGGAATGTCTACTGGAAAATGTACTGGGCCTATGCATTGATCTGGATATCAATTGGTCTCGGAGTAGTAGGACTGCTTAAACATTTCAGTATGTTTTCTAATAATTTTTACGCCGTATATTTGTAACTGAAGATTTATTTGTTGAAAGTCTTCCAGTTCAGGACTAAAAACTAGGAAATTAAGTTGTACTAACTTTTTTGTGCAGATGTTTAATGCACTGGATTATTCAGTTATAATTATAATGGTTTTAATGGTTGTATCTTTCTTATCCTATTCTACCTGTTTGGTTCGAATTTGCATCAAAAATTGTCCATGAATTGAAACATTAATCTTTGTTTCCTGTATCAGAGCTTATTATTTTCCACTGATTTAGCAATCTGATGTAATTTTTCCCCCATATCGCATGTTTTTCTTGAATCGTCTTTTCAGGTTATCCTCCCCAGATACCCACGTTGAGCGATGAATGGAAGCATGCAGCAATGCGAAAGATACTAATACTGGAGAAACCGCTCCCTGAAGGAGCAGCAACGTTATACGATTTCGAAAAGGACCGTTGGAAGGATTGATCAATAGGAAGATTACGAAAATTTCATTAGTGTTTGTATGTATAACGAGATTTTTGTCGTCTGGATTTTTTTATTCCTTGCACTATGAATTTGGATTTACGATTATTATTCCTAAAGCAGGAATGTTTGTATATATTAGTGCATCTCTTTTTATTGCACAACAAGGATTAATTATTTATATGTTAGTTGTAATAGACACTTATGCTGTATGGAAAGAATAAATTTCGTACTATCAGTGAAAGCATTTCAGGCTTGTTATGTTGGAACAAATAACTGTAGTGTATCTTTGGTCGTAATAGCAAGATTTAGTTTGAGTTTAATGTTAAATCAAACAAAATTTTCCAAAATTATTATTATTATTTGACGGTTTCGTAAAAAAATTTTTACATTTATCACTACAACAGGTTAGAACGGAAGAGTAAACGAAGTCATAAAATTTTATGAAAGTGAATACTGAAAAAAGATCGTTGAATTTCTTTTGCGAGAAAATATAAAGGGGATTGAAAGTGTGAAGTGGTAAATCGTTTGATGGTGTTATATCTGTTCTGAAGGTTAATTCCATCGTTTGTGAGAAGTAAAGAACTTGAAAATTAGGTTGAATTTCGAGTTAGCACAAAATTTGAATTTTAATGTTCAAAGAGTATAATAAGCTAGTAATTTAAAATTATAGTAAGTGAGTTGACTATTCATTTAGACTGTAACAATTGATAATCTATCATGATACAAATTTTAGTAGTCTTTGAACCTCGCTCAATGTTGGGATCACTGACTCCAATGCAACGTAGTGGTTCGAATTAAATTGGCGTGTGTTTGTGATCAGTGTGTATTTTTTTCTTGATTGTGGTAATTTTCCTGATCTATGAATCGAATGGTTAAAAATTTTTTCAAGCATGAAGGATGGCTTATTCAACGATTCGTTAGTAATATGGAAATGGAAAGCCTGCCATCGTTCGTGGCAACGAGAAGCCGAAGCCTGGGCATGTAGCAGGGCGGTAGTTCTTATTGACCCTTTGATAACATTAAAGAAAAGGAATGATACTGCAAAATCGGAAATTAGGAATACGGAACTTCCAGAATTTGCTGATCCCTTAGGTTTGTTTGTTTATAATTAATTCAGAAGTTTTCAAAGGCTGCGCAGATTAAGCAGTATTCAAGAATATATTATAAGTTTGATGCCAACTGAAATATGTTTAGGCTCCAATAGGTATATAATATGTTCACTGTAGAGCATTTCGTGGTTTTATACTGGATGTCAGGCTGAACTTTAAGGGTCTTGCAGCACTATCTCTGATAGTATTAACGTTTTGATTACAGGTGCTAACGTCGAGGATCGTAAAACGAATGCGGTTTTTATGTCAGAAGACTTACCAATTGTTTCAAAAAGGAAAGTGGAACCGAAATTAGCTAACACTTTGATTAGCAAAGATGAAATAGTTACAACCACTGAAGAGGTACCTTTCATAACTTTTCATTTCCAAATTAAGCAATGGAAGAAATCAAAACATGAGACTTTGCTATCTTAAGCGCTTCTAGATATGTTTAATAGAAGTGATGTACTTGTTAATACAATAATTGTAAAACACGCGAATTATTAACTTTTTTTACATTGCTCTGCTTTAGGAACTACCCGGTTTTATACCGTGGTCATCGAAAAAGCAAGACATATTGAAATCTTTTTTGGATGCCGAAGACTCAAAGATTTCATATTTACACTGTGTCCCGGATTTGAAAAAAACTGATGTGTCATTTGTTAAACGTATGGCGCAAAGGTTTTCTCGTTTTATCTTATTCGTGATTTTCTCTTTTCTCTCTCTTTTTCACTATAAGACAAATTGGTAAACATGGATTTCTTATAATAAGCGAAGTTCATAGTGATATGTTCTTCCCTTTCGCAACAAAAAAAAAAAAATAAATTGGATGAGTCTCATTTTTTGGGTGCATCTTTTTGGTTAGATACCTTTTCTGCAAAAAAATATTTCACATTCCCTTATATCTAAATTACACCTCGGAATTTACTAGCAAATAAAATCAATTTTAGTCCTGAGATTCATTGTTCTTTATAAAGAATGATATATCCCCAATTGCTTTTCAATTTATTATTGATGTACTCAACTAGGCTGAAGTAATGAAAATTGACATGAAATTTCATCAATCGAAAATCTTTAAATAGTAAAAATAATAAATTTAACCAAAATATCCAACATAACTTAAATACGTCTATTGGTTAGGAAATTTGAGGTTGGAACAGTTGGAGGATGCGGCAGGTTGGAAGAAATTAGCGGAACACTCATGGGAAGAAAATCTGGCTAAAATCAACGAATTACGGAAAAATTTGGAAATAGCTTGGGCCAGGGAGAAGAAAATAGAATCTGTTAATGTTTGTTTCATTTGTTTTTTTCACTTTTCCTTTGTAATTGCACTGTTCTCTTTGTACTTCCATCTTTAGTCGTCATCATGTTGCTTTTTGTAGTTGGCAGTAGAAGTTGCAAATATTCTCGGATTTGCATCAGCAGCTAGTATCTATCCACATCAATTCGTCCTTATAACAGATGTTTTGGATGAGTTCGGACACCTGGTTTATGATCGTCTATATACTAAAGCAAACAAGGAACGTGCCGAAGCGGGTTTAAATCAGCTGCCAAATAACTTTACAGTGGATGACGTACCGAAACAAACACGGGATGTTGCAAGAAATTGGTTTTGTAAAATTGGTGATATCACTGAGTTCTTACCACGTTTTTATGGTCAGCTGTTTGTTATTAATCTTTCGAACACTGAACTCGTCATTGAAAGTAAAAAGCAAACATTGATCAAATCCATTTTCTGAATTTGAATTTTGGAAAATTTCATGTGTTCTACTTTCACATTTTTTCAAAACGTTTGATGTTCTAAGATACAGTTGCTTCTTTTGCTTAACCCTTTCATCAACTACCAATTTATGAAAAAATCTGTTCCAGTGGAAACTGCTCTTATTGGTTGTATCCGTTTTCTCGATGCGGAATCGTTGTCGGTGAATTTGTTACGCCTTGCCAGAATTCCGGTATCACTACCGAATCCACTGGTATCATGTTATGCTCGTGCTTATCTATGTCGTGTTGCAATGCGGCTTACTCCGAATGATCGTGCACCTCACTGGAGATGTTTCAACGACTGGATCAATACAATCCCGATTCAACCGGTTCTGCTTTTTTGACGATGAAACATATAGTTCGGGAGGGATTACTTTTGAGTCTGCTTGTAATATTGCCAGTAACATGTCGTTTTCTCAACCTCTATGATACTTTTTTGAATTGGTTAGTGTTATTAAAATAAAGAAGAAGGTAGTAAAAAGTAAAAAAATAAAATGAAATACAAAAACAAGGAGGAAAAGATAGAAACTCGCAACATAAAAGAAAATATTGAAGATAATATTAATTTATATCGTACAGATATTTGCTTTTTCTTTTGAAAGATTCTGAAAAAAAAATCTGGAAAAAAGAATATTTTGAAATCTAACAGCTATTTCGAGCCGCGTTTTGGCTTCTTACTGTTCCCGAAAAAAAAGATTTAATGCCTAAAATACGGAAATAAAAATGTTTTGTATGTTTTGCGTTGGTTGTTTTTATTTAACTTTGGAAAAAATAATGTAAAGTGAGGATCGAAGAGTCAAGTACTCAAGTTGTACCTGATAAATAAGTAATCAAAGAGCTAATAAGTGATAATAAGTGGATATGAATACCGCACAGTGTATTTTATGTTTAATTGTTGAGTCTTTTTTTTATTTTTTTTTGTCCTTGTGAGTGGGAATCAATTATAAGATCGTGATTTTTCTTATTCGTGATAATTTATGTAATCTTAATCTGTCAGAATCAATTACTTCTCATCAATATTGACATTATGCATTTTAGATGCCAGAAGTATTAATGCCAGCTCTAGAATGGATTATTCAATGTGTTGCATATAATGCTACAGCATACGACGAGTTGCAAACTCTTTGGGATCTTTGCGCAGATAATGACAGACGATCCATATTTTTGCTTCCTTTTTTGCGTGCTGTACCTTCTAATTATTTGTCTCGGCACGCTTTGGATGCTTGTAAATTGGTTAGTGAGCTGAGCAGTTATATTTTAGCTTTTGATTGAAGCGGGTGAGATGTGCAGTAACAAAATTGGCAGTTGTTAATGTTTGATTTGTCGTGTAGTTTTAAAAATCGTCAAGTCTTGTAAGCAAAAATTGGTAGGTTATTATCTCTTTTTCATTCTTTTCTAATCTGATCCTTACTTGATATCAGAAGTCCGCTCCCATTCTTAACTTTTTTCTTAAGAGATAAGAGTAAATGGTAGAAAGTTCCAAATGTTTTTGGACGGATGGTTTGTAATAAGTTTTTAAAGATGTTATTGTTAAATATTCGAAAGTACTTCTCACAACTTTTTTATAATTTCAATTCTTTTTTTTCAATCAGAATTCATCCGTATGTCTAATGATTGAATTGTCTAATGATAACAGTATGCCTAATGATTGAATTGAAAAAAATGGTTTGATAATTGCTTCATCAGTATGGAAGTTTATGCGAAGATCCAGAGATGACAAATCCTGTGTTTGGAATACCGTCACAATTAAAACCTTTTATTGTTGGAATGAAGCTGATTCATAGGAAAGTTGTTTATTCTTTTTCAGACTTGATAGTTTCAGATAGTTGCTGATGGAAATCTAAGTTGTATGGAGCTTTGTGTTCTCGGTAGAAGACTGATGGAAAATAATATTGAGAATGAGCTAAACCGAATTATTCTGAAAAATTGCTGGCAAAAAATTATGTATGTTTTCAATGTGTTGATATATTGTATATTCATTTCAACTTCATTCGATTCAACGAAAATTGAGAAAAAAAGCTTTGGGGAATTGAAATTCTGATTTCCTACTTTTTTGAAAATAAGCACATTTTTTAAGAAGTGTACGTCTATGTTGATTTAATTTTAGCCACCTAATAAGAATCCAAGATTTCATTGAATGTGCAGTTGTATGGATTGAATTTGCTGCTCGCTATTTTACATTGAGCGAGGTTGATGTTATGCTGGAAATAATTATAAAACGAGTTACACCTGATAAGGTTTGTTTGGAAACTTACTCTATAAGCCAATATTTAATCATAAGAATACAGTTCATTCCATTCTGGGTATATTTCATAGCCTAACTTAAGTACAAAATTGGATACTTTGATGCTATTATATCGTTCTTTTTTCTTTAACGAATAGTCAACTGAAAATCTCTGAAAGAAAGGTGAAAATTTTGTAGAAATACGAAGCTTTCATGGATGAACTGTTATGTATCTTGGAAAAAATTACACATTGGATTGATGAGACAAAGGATTTAGTTGTATTGAACCACTTTCAAACAATGGTCGATTTATTCCGTGGTGCGCAACAGCGTGGAGATTGCGCTACCACAGTGTTATCTGCTTTCATACGCTCTTGTGAGCTTTCATCGATTGATGATTTCCAACTTGCAAATCAGGTCGGTCATCACTTAAAATAATTACATATTATAAAGGCAATAGAAATTAATGACCAGCGAAGGCGAGAATTATTACAGCTTTTCTATACTGTTAAATTTCTTACATTTATGTATTTAAATTTAATCTCTCTCAGAAAAATTGAACATTTGTTTTTGTTTAAAATGTCATTTGATGCCTTCCAAATTTCCATTTCCAATTTGATTGAACTAAAGCCGCTCAAAAAATCCAACTTCTGCCTGTTTCTTCAAGAACATACGAATTCTTGAGTCTTTTAGATACTTCATATTTGCCAGATGCTTCATGATTCTTTAAGTGCCCTTTCAATAGACGAAGAGAAACAGCGTGCTGCCTTTTATATCATCCGTGCTTTGGACCGATTTAAACTGGAAGCAGATCCGGAACGGGCACTTGATTTTTTTGTCGATGCACGTGCTGCTTTTTCCAATTTGGATAAAGTCATTGCTGTATGTTTGTCGGCTTTTCGTATAATAAGGCGGAATTTGAGTTCTTCCATCAGAAATTCATAATGATTTTCGATTAATATTTCGGTTCTTGACAAGTTTTTGTTTCCTACTGGAAGTTGAAATTCTTCGATGTAAATTCGGTTTATTGGCTTTAAATTTAAGTTTTTGTTTCACATGTGACTATAATCATTTCAGAGTCAGATTTGCAATTCTCTTTTCTATAATTTCTCCATTATTCGACTCGGGTAATTGGAATAAATTTTAGTACCTTGCCACAAAAGTATGCTCTCTTGGCTTGTATGTAGTTCGTCAGAAAAGGATTTCTCATGCAGGTGAAACATTTCTACGGGCTTGTATAGCATATGCATTTATTACAGTAGCATCATTATCTAGCTCAGTAACCAAAATTGAGGTCTACATCCAGGCTGGAATATTGAGCTTAACCAGCAATTCACTTCCACAGGTTAGTCTTTTTTCCAATGGAAATTCGAATATCTTATTTTTGATAAAGATTGGTGGAAATAGTAGATGTCGTTCGATAAAATTATTAAGCTTAAACAGTTTTAATGTAATATTGGTTGTAAAATTTAATGTTTATTAAAATTTATGATTACCTTTTTATGCAAATAATATGAACTTTCGTTTTGGTATTTGATTTTTAAAAGAGTGTTACTTCTTCCTTATCCTACTTCTTAAGAATGTTGAATGTTGAACTTCTGCAGGCGGATGCGATCTTGAAGTGTTCGATCGAAGTACTGGCAGCGGCTCATGATCTTAAGGTGTCAATTTACCGATCTGTCTGTTCCTCGTTCCTCGCATTTTTGGTATTAGTTCCTGATCCTCCGAACAAGAATCCTTTATACATGTTTAATGCATTTTTAAACGCTATTGCCAGGTCTGTTTCCAATTCTCATTCCAGAAATAGTCTGAAAGTATTGCGAGTGAACTTTCGGGATTTTGCAGATCATAAGACTAACTTTTATGAGAATTTAGTATTAAATTTTGAGTTCGCCACATTCTGAACAGATTTTAAAATTCTTAGGTATCCTTGGCGAAACGAATCCTTAGAGCACGGGCGTGTTTTGTTGGAATGTATTTGTTATCTCTCAATAATGAATCAGTCGGAGTTGCCATATCATATAGCGTTTGGTGGCGTGCAATCGAATGACACTTTATATGGTGGCACTGAAGAGTTCATGGAATTAATCAAGGAGAAATGTGAAATAGTAATGGGTCGCCTAGAAGATATCTACAAGCAGGATAGAGATAAACTGTCACTGTTAGCTATTGAAATCTTAGAAGCAATCCTCAGTTTGGGAGATGTTGAAGCGGTAAGCATCTGCTAAATTCTTTCTCAAATTACACCACTCTTCAAATTTCAAAGATTTCAAGATAATCAAAATTCATGGAATTAATCAAGAAGAAATCAAAATGTTAACTATTGAATATCAAAATTGGTTTTAGTTGGCTACTTTGGTCATTGAGCTTTATGGTGATTCTACTGCAACATCGGAGTTACGGAGACGACGAGAATTGATTTTGAGAAAAATTCAGCAATTTGCAAAAAAGAATAAAGAATTGGAAAAGTTGTATGAACAGTTGTATATTTTGGAATATTCTGCTCACGACAAAAAGAGATAAAAGTCTTCACTAATATTATCATCACTGTTTGTTGCAAGTACAAAACGTGTAATTATATTAGACAATTTGATGATTGGTCACAGGAATCTTTTTCGGGTTAATTTGCTTTCATTTCATGCCGCCGCAAAATGTATGCTATAGCTATCGGGCAATTGAACAAATGTTTTGATATTCTATAGTATTACTTCTTGCACATCATCATCATACTATAATGAGATATTAAAATTGTAGGAATTGTTTTCTTTTAGAATTAATAAATGGAATTACTAAGATTAACATTTGTGTTATTTCAATGTACAATTTTAGTGCGTAATCATTGTGTACTCTTCTTCAAAGGTATCAGGAATGGCTTCATGTGGTGCTCGATCAGGCATATAAGTGCCAAAAAGTATGGTGCATATGAGCTGATTATACATGGAATTTATTGGAAGTGTTATATGGTCGTGTGCTATTTCATGATCACTTCGATCTGCAATAAAATACACATTAATTATATGAAAATATGGTTTATAGAGATTATTAAAATTTACTCTATAAGCCATTATCAACAGAACTTCACATCTCATCACTCATAACTTCATTCCCACTTGAGATGACTGGAATTATCACTTATCACTCAGAAACTGAACAAAACCCGCTTGTGGTACCAACTTATTGTTCTCTTTGCGACAGAATTTTAATTCTTGAATTAACGCCTTGGTTATTGTGCTTCCTTTATCTTCCAAGACTTCTGAAGGACAAGGGGTAGAAAAATAATAAACGGGAAAAATAACGATAAGGGACAAGGAGTAAATTATTTTGAAATAGGAAGTGAGAATTTTATAGTAAGACGGATGTTTAGTGTGGTGATGAGATGGTGCAAATATTTATGCTTTGGAAGTTTAGTTTAGACCAAATAGCTGGGACACTGTAAAGGAAAGGTTAAAATTATCATTCTCTAATAAATCAATTTGTCATTACTCTTTTTTACTCCTAATTTATTCAAAATAAATTTCATAGACTATACAGGAAAATGATTGATTAGATAGTCATGAGCCATAGTAAGATGAACTAATGAGTGCACTAGTAGTTTGAGAATATTCTCATTTCAAATTTTTTCGAATTAGATTTTAAAAATCCATGGCTTCTCAAGATTCTCAATAAGCTTCAAATATCTAAGAATCTATAAAAGCAATTATTGTAGATTCTCAAAGTTTAAAATCTATGAAAAATGTATACAAAGTAATGATCGATTTCATATAAACGATACATAAATTATATTCGGAGGATATCTTATTTGCTATTACTATTAAATACATATACTTACAACAGCCTTTTCCTAATAATCCTTGCAAATTTTTAAATGTAAAGCCAACAGCGACAATTGTTGAAAATAAATAAATGAAATCAAATTGCTGATAAATAATACCATACGCAATACATAACAATGTTGCAAGACCTATTGGATAAAGTAAGAATTTTCGACGATTTTTCTCAACTTTTGGACAAATAAACTGCAAAAAGGAAAACATTCGCTAAATAAAATTTACAATTCATTTTTGGATTTTGATAGAATTAAATGTTTGAATTTTTAGAATTATTTCAAATTTATTTAATTTAATATAAGAAAATTGTTTGAAAGAGATCTGAAATATTTTTCTGAAAATTGATGAAAAGTGTCAAATTTTATCAAAAAGAAATATTATATACCTCAACAACAAGTGCTATCACAGTAAATGAATAATATGGAGGTGAAGGGAGAATAGGTTGTTGCCATTTTAAATATAATTGATGTGTACCTGCTCCTATCATAAATGATAATATTAGCGCACAAAATCGTCTTTCTGATAAACCAAATGTTTCCTAAAATTTAATATTTTTATAATCTTATTTTACAATTTTTTTAAATTAGAATTTAACTTTGAATTAAATTTAATTAGAAATTAAAATTCAGTTTTATTTTTATTCGTAAATTTACCATTGATATTTTGTGATGTAAAAGAAATGCCAATTTTGGCAATAAAATATGCAAAAAAATAAATGACAGCGTGCAACTTGTCGCCATCTTCGACAGTATAACATGACCAATGTAAGTACTCGCAAATTCTTCACCATAACATTTTGCACTGATAATAACATAATCCCAGAAATGACTACTAAATAACATTTCACATTTTTAAATTTAAATTAGCATAATTTTGTTAAATTTGAAATTTAAATTATCTCTTCCAGATTTTCAATTCTGAAAGATTTGATATTATTTCAAGAATTTCAATTTTTTATTAATGCCTTTCATACTTGATGAAGCGAATGCTCCTAAAACTTACACATATATATTGAAATAAGAGATGGAGGATGACAATATTTTAGGCCTACCATTCTATCAATCAATTGATATTGTAAATGGTCCAAAAAATTTTAAATTTGAAGTCATAATTTTATAAATTAATTTGCAGAAATTTACATCATCAAAAAAGAATAGTCAAAATCATCCGGTACTGATCCAAAATCGAAGAAATATTTAAATTCCTCAACGGACAATTCGACAACATTTTTGGGAAACCGGGTGATTTTCGTGATCCATGACTGGATCAATGTTTTGCTCAATTGATAAGTTATCAGCCCAGCATCATGGATGATATCTTTGAAATCATTGAAATATATTTGTGCAACTTTTAATACCCGTTTATTTCGTAGCAGTTCTTCCTTGCCATTACACATTTTTACCTTAATTTTAAATTATTTTTTGCTATAATAGAATGAATCATCTCTTAAACTAATGAATAAAGAACATGATTAACTCTATGAGATGATATCATAATAACTTATGCCATCAAATTTAATTTAACAAAACTTTATTTGCTGCAACCAAATATCTTTAATAAACTTGCAGCCATTTATACTATTTATTAAAGGTATGAAGCATATCTAATGCATTCAAAGTTTTATAATTAACAATTTTCGAAGGAATATTTGGAAAGAAAAATTGATATGCAAATTTTATTAAATAAATATTATTTAAATATTCACAAATTTGTCAAATAATTTATTTATTACGTCTTAGAGTTTATAAATAGTTAACATTCATTAATTTGTGAAAGTAAAAAAGAAAAATGTCTGAAAGAAATAGAAAGGAAAAAGATCGAAAGAATAAATCTTTACTGCAAATAACTATGCCATCAAATGGAAACTTAAAAATTTCCGGAAAATTGAAGACATCGACGAATTCTGGAAGAGAGAAGGATGAAAAAATTATTATTGATCAGGGTTTTAATGATATTATTCGGATGAGACAGGAAAGTTTAATCGATTCATTCAAATCAATGGAATCTGTCGTTCGATAGTTTGTTTTTTGTTACTTCCTTTTAAGTAATTTAGCTCTTAATAAACTCTACTAATCAACTAATCATTAATTTCGGATGATCATTAATTAATTTATATTTTTAATAATGCAATCACTGAGAAAAACAAATCATTTGTTCTATAATATTTTTTTTCTTTGATCACATTAATTTGAATGGAAAAAATATTTAAAATAATAAAATCATTTCATTTTACAAATCAATAAAATGATACACGCATATATTTCAATGTTATCATATTAGTACGACGTTAGTATAAGGAAATTAATGAAATTATTAAGGAAATTGGTATAGCTAAAGAAATGAGAAAGAGTAAAGGTAAATTAGAAGTTATTTAATTAAGTTAAATAAGTTTGTTTTGAATTTTTCAGTGAATATAACGCAGAAATTATAAAAGGAATTGATATGCTTATGGATGAAATTATAATTTTCTTCATAAATCTTCGCATTAGCTTATGGCCAATGTTTAAAAAATATCAAAAAACATTCTATCAAAGTTTAATTGAAAAATTTGAAAATTGTCTTCGATTTACGCCTATTTCAAATTCTTTTAATTTTACTTCTTGTACAGTGTTAGTCTTTCAATTTCATTTTAAAAATTTAATAAGTTAATTAAAGAATTTTTAATGCATAAAATTTCATTTCTTCCATTTATGACTTTATTATGTAGCTGTCAATAAGAATTATTTAGTAATACCGTGGAGAATACATACCGTAATGATTGAAAATGAGTTCAAAATGCTTTTATGATGATCTTACTAATGTGAGGATATAGATTAATTGTAAACTAACAATTAACCTATAAAACAATTAAGCAAAATATCTGATGAAAAGATGAGCAGATAGCTTAAGATAATTATGATATTGTTATAATATATAAATCAAAAATTTGAAATGTTAAGTGATAAAATTAAATTCTTTTCAGAAGTCAATTTTGGGCAATTGTAATTCTAACAGCAAAATGTTACGGTGAAATATTTGCAAACATGTCGATTGGTTATTTTTTGCTATCGTTATTATTTGATAAAAAAATTCCATCTTTATTTTTCATTTATATTGTAATGCCATTGTTCGCATATTTACTGAATCAAAAAACTCCAACGGTAAACTGATTCTTTTAAAATATTACTCATCCGATTAATTAATGTCACTAATTCATTTATTTGTTCCTGTAGTTGGCGACACTTATCAGTCATCTTCTTCATTGAATTATCAACTTCAGATTATCACTTACTGATCCAAATGAATGGACTATTTCATGAGATGAATTTAGGAAATTTCAGTGTATTTCAAAAATTTTATTAAAATTTGTAAAAAATTTATAAAACAAGAACGTTGTTGCTATTTTAGAGTAAAATAAGCCTAGCGGAACGACGTTGGTTTATTTTAATATTTTCATTTTGGGTTGGTGCATCGACGCATTTCATTTTGATTAATTGGGATCTTGGAATATTTCCACCACCGCCACTATATTCACCAACACTTGTAGCATTACTTTTTGAGGTACGATACGATTAACTTTGAAATGTTGTTTAAAAATTTTAATATGAACTGTAACAAATGTGACTGGTCATTCGATCTATCTTTTAATGAAACAAGCTGATAAGGCTTTGATAAAGCCTTGAAAATTCTGCAAAAATTAACAATGAAACATTTTTTAGTTTCTAGGCTCAGTGATAGTTAATAATGAAATTAGAATCGAAAAAAATGAAACATTTCCAGTTTCTTGGTCCAATGGTAGCTTATGATCGATCGTTATTTCTCTTGAGTACCATTGGTATTGCATCATGCGTGTGTTTCACGTATAGCTATATTTATACCTGCTTCACGTTCACGTATTTCTATACCTCTCTGATAGCAATCGCATCGTCATTTTATAGCATGCAACAACACCTTGCTGATCCAAAATTAGGTTTCATTAATTTCTTTCTTTTTAGCTTAGAATTTTGTAACAACAAATTTTAATTTAAAGTGTGCTACTTTTTTTTGTATAAATTAATGATTCACATTTGGAAATCGAAATCTTTCTACCAACAATAATTTCTATCATTTATCCCAGCTGTTGACCTTAAATTAGATTATTTGAAATGTTCTATATATTAAAAAATACAATTAAAGGTAGGGATATACTTTCTTTATTTAATGTTCTCAAATATTACATCGTATATGTTCAGTCTAAAAAATATTTAAGAATGCCGATTATTCAGTAGAATAGATTTCTTGATCTGTTAGTAACGGCAAAATATTGCTAAGGCCGAAGAAAGCCGACAATGCTTAACCCCTTCAAAATTTATTTTAATCCAATTATTGATAAAGTTGCAAATGATTATACTTAAGATATCTAAATGAATGAAGTTTAGCAAAAAATAAAGTTGGCTTTCAAATTTAGAAACAAATATAGTATTTATTGCTTCTTTTTTATGTCGTGGTGATATGAGTGAAGGTCATGTTCTACTCCCAATTTATTCAATGTACAATCAATTAGTGATAACACTTATTTTTGGCCACTATCTCTGGGATCGTAATCCGAATGCAATCAAACCCAATACATTGGAAGAACGATATACGTTGCTGTTACGTCGATTGCACTAATCAATTTAAGATAGAAATGTGATAAAGTGATAGAGACAAAAGAAAAATGCTTTATTATAATTATTAAATTATTGATCAATTTTTGCACTAAATATGTAAAATTCTGGATATCGTTCTTTATTCTAAGCACAACAAAATGTATTCTAAACAATGCAAAATTTCGGAAGTAAAGGTTGTGTGCATTGATTAGAAAAAAAGGAAATGAATAAGAATTCGAAAATGAAAATTCTCTATTTTACACATATAGAAATTTATTTTAAGCGCAGTCATCCATTATTACATTACATGATTGCATGGTATAATTTCGTTTATATATCATCATATATCATTACATTGTATATATCATGATATATCGGTAACGTTTGCAGCATCAGATAGAATCAATCTTCTTTTCTCTTCCGATTGTTTTAATAAACTTTCAAATTGACTATTCGTACTTGGCTCAGATTGGTGTATTTTCAGAGCCACGCACACATATACAAACGGAACTAACACACACCAACACACAACACACGCATAAAATATCGCTTGTTTAATGGAATCGGAATTGACATTTTTTTTCCGATTTGCTTTTTAGATCACTTCCGAGTTAAAATTTCTTTCCATAACTTTTTTTTAAAATTAATTCAACTGTGGAGATTTGAAATAATCACAATAACAAAAAAGTTGAATTCAATCTGCATCAAATGGTCAACGATTTTATAAATTCATACCATCTCAGCAGTACTGAAACTACAAATCAAAATAGTACCATTCTGTTTTACTTGTGATTCCAATTTTCTTTTCTTTTTAAATGTGATTATGGTGCGAATTACCATCTGAAACATAATGAGAGTTGCTAATTATTAATGACTGAAAACAATCGTAAAAAATTTTTGAAAGTGGTTCACCGTTGTTTCTTTTCAGTATGATTAAGTAAATCAAGTTTCCAGACATTTTAAGTAAGCCAAGCTTGTTGAACAGTCAAAAATTGGATAGTCTGAAGAGCCAGTGGCCATAAAAATGAGAGAGAGAGAAACATGTATGTGACTTTTATTTCACCTTCTGATCCTCCCTCGAAAGAAGATATTCAACTGTATAAATTATTACAACAGGTGCCACAATGAATGACCACTGACAGTGACCGCTTTTCTCCCATTTCTTTGACTGCTAGTAACAAACAGCTAACTAAATCGGTAACGCAAATGCATGTCGCGAAATATTGCAATTTGCGATGCGAGTGCAAAGGATTAATGTGGCCCCTTGCAACGAGGAAAATAAATCTGAGCGCGTTTCGTCGTGCTGCTTCATCGCTGTGTACAATGCGCCCGGAGGAAGTCATGGAAGGAATTAAAACGGAACTTGGCCTTGGTACCATTAGAGAATTACGATCTAGATTTATTGGCGGTTGTATTAATAGGGCTAAAGCGTACGAAACTGATAAATATGATATTTTCGTGAAATTTAATGATAACGAAAAGGTTAGCATTTTCAATTTTACTTTCATTTATTTACTTCCTTAATTATTTTAAAGATCATGTTACATCGGTAATTGTGCCAAGAATGTTAGTATTTTCAGAACAAAATATGACTTTTGAATTATCAGGCAAGCAACATCTCGCATGAAATTTTTCGTGATTGAAGTAACGCTGAAGAGAATTTAATGTAAAATCCTTAAATTGATAAATATCGTTTCTTTTAGTTAATAATTTATCATCCCATCATTTAATTGCCGCTCAATTATGCATATACAAATGTGTATTACTATTACTATAATTCTATTTCATTTGTTTGTTCGAAACCAGAAAAATTTAAAGAGTACAATTTTTCATATTTTGCAAACATGTGATTCGAGACAATTTTCAGGCCCAGGAGATGTTTGATGGTGAATTTGCGAGTCTTCAAGCATTGTTAGATACGAATACAATCCGAGTGCCGAAACCAATCAAAGTAACACCCATTAATAATTGCTATCATTAAAATGATTGATAAATCCAAAATATGGTCTAAATATATATATATATATATATATATATATTCGAATGGTATAATTATCTGTCAGTTTCAAAAGCTTTGAATTTTGGTAATGGCAACTATGATTAAGTTTTGTAGTGAGTTGTAGATATTTTTTCTACTTCATATTGCACTAATCTTCATTTTAACTCGAATCAGTGATCTGTAATCACCAGCAGCAAATCAACGAATTGAATTGATTTGACCACAGGTTTATTATCTGTTTTATGAGGGCATGCATTAGTATTTTATCTTTTGGAAACATGCTATATTGGAATAATCCAACATGGTCTTGGAATTCGGATCTTTTGGAAACATGCTATGTTGAAATAATCCAACATATGTTTTGATACTACCGATTAGAGGGATTGGAATTCGGACCATGAATTCTATTAATCAACTGAATCGCAATTTTGACTTTGTAACCCTCCTTATAAAAATTTTGATGCCAGTTTTCAGGTATTTTCTGTAAACGGTGAGCGTTGCTTGGCAATGGAATTTATAGATATGCGTGGTCCATCAAATTCTGAGAAACTTGGTACTAGTATAGCGAAGTTTGGTATTTCCTTATACTGCGAATAAACATTTTTATTTGGTCTTGTTAATAAAACTATTTAAATAGTTTGTTTAGTTCATAAGACCTAATTTTGTGTGATGAAGGACAAGAGATTACTTCATCATTCAGTTTTATCCCTCAGAAAAATAAACTTAACATGAGAAAATCTTTGTTTCTCCAGAGGCTTGTATTGTTAAAAACGTTAATTCACAGTCAGGAAAAAAGAAAAAAGATTGCCTCATATAAAGTTTTTTTTTGGGAGATGAAGCTGAGTAATGAAACAGCCTTTTATCTTCCATTTATAAATCTGATTAACTAAATAATCATTTTCCGTCAGAAGAAATTGAAACCTTTTCCGAACAAAAAATTTTTTATTAAAGTTAAAATATGGCTTTTATGATTCTTGTTAAAAAGGGAGATGTCCTGGAAGAAATAAATGCTCTTGCGTGAAGTATGCAAGATTTCTGTGCATAAATGAAATTATTGTGATTAAGAAAGACTAATTATAGATACTATAATGAAAAAGACATTGATTACTAATATTGATGATTCTAGAGCATATATATAGTTACTGATGAAAATTTCAGATTACATTTACATAACAAATCCTTAATGGAAGCAAGTAAAAACAGCGAATCAACAATTGGTGGTATCGATAAGCAGCCGAAACCAATTAATAAATTCGGATTTCATACACTTACGTATAGTGGATATTGCCCACTTATTAATGAATGGTCGGATAATTGGGTGGTAAATTGTTTTCGTATATTTCGGGGACGCATGTTCTAAATACCTGTCGGAAGGGTCAATTGAAAGTACCGAACGGTTCTTATGGTTGTTTAAGATGAAGTCTTCGGTGGGAAGAAATGCCGAATGATCGGTATTATTTGTATTTACTTGCTTTCATTTTGCGCGCAAAAGTCTGCTTGAATATCAGATGTGGTTCTACAACTGCTAAAAAATATATGGAATTGGTCATCATTCTATTTAATCTCTCGTTTGCTACGTGTTTTTTGAATTTTAGGAATTTTATTCGCAAAATCGACTGAAGAAAGTTATTGATATCATTGTGGAGGTCAGTGTTTTTAATCATCTGATAGTTTTCATGTAGTCCGTTTTTTCTTAAAAGATAATGTTAAAATTATGATTTCATTGTAATGAAATTCTTCTAGAAAACCGGTGATCGGGAATTGCTGACATTGTGGCCAGAGTTAGAACGAAAAATCCCGGAATATTTCAAGGATTGTGATATATATCCGTGCTTGTTACACGGTGATCTCTGGTCTGGAAACTATTCGTTCACCGAGGATGGTCCAGGTTGGCTTACTTTGTAGACGAATGATAATTTAATCCAATTATCAATTTATGATGTGATTAGCATCATAGTTTTTCGATCCTATTACCAGGGTTTTTCAGCTTGTTTCAAGAAACAAGTTCAGAATTTAAAGAGAGAATAGTTTTTTTTGTAAACTTTGAAATTTCACAAAATTATAGTAGTATTCGATCCGGCATCTTTTTATGGTCATAGCGAATATGAGTTCGGTATCTTGACCATGTTTGGTGGCTTCGATAAAGCTTTTCACACGGCTTATCACAAAATGATACCACAAACTGCTGGATTCACCCAACGTGTGCTTCTTTATCAGCTTTTCCATCACTTGAATCATTGGTTGGTATTTCTTGACCTAATTTCCAGAAAGAAAAAGTCTTGGCATCTCTCGTTCAAAAATTGCAATTACTAATTGTTAGAGAATGAAATCTTAGGAAGCTCCATGCGAAGTTATGAATACATTATACGATTTGTTAATCCAACAATCCACTACAAGGAATATTTAATGAAGTTATTCGAGCATGATTATTGTGAGGATGTTAGAAGTGACATCTATGTACTGACTGTTTGTTGAATCCGATTAACCTGATGATTTTCATTTTGAACAACAAAAAATACCAAATTTTCCATGAAACACAAAATTATTATCCATGAATTTGAATTTTTTCTATGTTTCTAAATTAAATTTCATAACGGATCACATTAGAGGTTTGAATATTGTGCCTGCTAAATAAAATCATTCTGTGGTTAGGGTTAACAAAATGGCACTGTTTTTGTCAAGATTAGAAGAGCTGTTGTTGATGCTGTTTGATTTTTTGCTTTTTCGCTTTCCTATTTCATCATTGATTCTTTTTTGCAGGAATCATTTTGGTGCCGGATATAAACCAAGCGCATTAAATTTAATGCGGAAACTGTCGTGAAAATTATAGCAATGTACAAAATGGAGAAGCAAGGAGAGGGTTTTTCCTTCACGTGTAAAATCTTTTTAAAAAAATGTTTTGTATAAATTCTAGCTGATATTAAACTTGTATAAAATGCCTTTTAATTGCTCTCTATGCTCACATCTCTGATGAAATGAACTCTTTAAAAGTGATTTGGCTTAGAACATAAAAAGGAATTGACGAGGTTCTTGAAACGTTTTTGTTCTTAGAATGCCTCACAGTTTTCAACAACAGCAGGAAACAGTTGTAGAACAGAAAAATGATGGATACTGCGTCATTAAAATTTTGTTGAAGTAGGAAGGATTTTAGTCTATCATGAATTTTTGTCACCTTACCTTATCTTCGTTACTTTTCTTTTTTATCTTTACATTTCTATAATCCTTATAGCTCTATGGTAATTTATTGCGATCCAGGATTCATTTATTCTGCAAAAGGTCTCACGGAGAAGGATGTCCAATAGATTCACTATCCTGATTTCTATTGAGTGGTAGCATAATGCTCTCGTCGATTCGTGAACCAGCAAAATTGATTTTAAGCATCATAGTCAACTTGGATGCATAAGCAATTCCACTGCTCAAAACGAAGTTTTTGTTCGCAGCTTGACTATTGTAAATATATTTTGGAAACAGAAGTTTACTATGGGATCTATACTTTGGGATTGCAAGATTTGGGCCAGATAGGACTTAAGAAATTTTCTTTTTACAATCTCGAAGCTTCATAGATGCAGTGATTGTACAGTTTAATTAATTTAAATTTTTAATTCCCTGCTAATCTTGGTGTGAAGAAAAAGAAATGAGAAAGAAGAATGGGACTGAAGAGAAGACTGCAAAAAGGAAGGGAGAAAAGAAAAGGAGTAAATAAGGAATGAAGTGCGAAAAACGACTTAAGCTGAAAATCTATTGCATATCGGCGTTACTGCGATTCTACCATATTTTGTTGTTCTATTCCATGACGTTGAAGTCTATTATTTTATTTCATTCGGATCAAATTTAAATTTAGATATCGATTAAGAAGGACCGAAAAATTTTTAAGAGAGAGAGAAACGGAAGGTGCACAATTATATTTCAACAGTTTCCATTTTTCTCCATTATTAATTTTACTTTATTTTGGTCATTTCAATCGATGATGAAATATCAAAAATTGCTAAAGACTTAGTCGAATGAAGTGAAATTGACATATGCATTATACTCACTGCCGTTTTTTAGTCCATCTACTTATAAGCCAGAACAAATCCATTTATTGATCATTTCTCATCTGTCTCTAAATCCTCTTAAATCCTCTCTTTAATTTTTATACATTTTTTCTTTCTCCTTTCCTCTTTCTTCACCACTAATATATTTGCTTTGAATATTGACATACAAAACATGATATGAAGATAAGTTTAACATGTTGGAAGAGAGAATCTCTTTAAATCTATCGCATGAATAAATCTGGTTGTTTGTTTGTTATAAGTCTTGCCTTTGTTTGTCTCAAAAACTTTTTCATATATTATGGTAGAGATTGATAAAATTTCAATGATTAAACGCTTTTTTTCTATCTTTGTTTAGAAATTGATTTTCCTACCACAACTATTTCAATTTTAGGATTTAAAATTATTTAAATTGAACAACTCAAATACTACTTTCTTTGTATCTTATATATATATATAATTTTAAATCCTAAAAAAATATATATATGTATATTTTTCTCTCACTTACACATAATTGCCGGAATATAACGATAAGTTATATTTTGAAAGGCGTAATTTTTATTCTACAAATCTATTATTTGATTATCTGCGGAGAATGTCTAAGTGTTGGAACAAATGAAGGGATATGATTCTTTTCAGGAACAAGTTATGATTCTTTTCAGGAACAAGTTTCTCATCTCATAAAATTTAAATTTCACTCCATATAATGTATTCACTTATACATGTTCACTGATGACACCCTATTGAATGTTTCATTTATTGTCATTGTTAATGATCTATGTGAGTTCTAATTCAGTTCCTGTGTAAGTTCTAATTTATGTCAGTGCATACTGGGATAGGAAATGAAAAATTTTACACCTGCAATTGCGGAACTTTTGAAACAACGGCAACCCTCATGAAATAAACTATACAAAGTCAAGGATTACAGGATCTTTACTTTGTATTTGTTCTAAAAATGATGATAACAATGATAATGTTAAATAGTTAAAACAGATTATAGAATAATTTCATTAAATCGTCGTCATTTTCACAAATATTAGCTATTAAAATCTGAATCGATTTAATTTCAGTTTACCTCATCTTTTAAAAGTGTAATACTTGTAATAGCTTAACTGTCCGTTGATAGTGATAGCCTTCTCTCCCAATTCATCCTATTCTTCACAAAAGAAAAGATAGATTAAAATATTTTGCCATTTGCTTCACTGTCCCATTTCTTCATTTTCTATTCAAATCTTAGCAAATTTCTTCATAGATGATAAATTAACAAATTTATAATAAACAAAAACATCAAATATAAAGTACTCAATATGAGTAGAGTAATACTAAAAATGAAGACAAATAAACCGGTTTAGTTAAGTGAACTGAAATCTTTTAAACTTCATGCCTATCAGTATTGAAATCTCTTAAACTCTGCTCGTTGTCAGTATTTTTAGTCTTAGTTAAATTTGAATCGTGTTATGGGAATTGAAACTTAAAATAATTCGATCTTCCTTTTTCACAATATTTTCAAACTTTATAATGAGCTGAAAGAGAGACGAATATTGAAGGCAGCTCTTCTACCAAGTCTTACCAAACCCTGTCAACACTACCGACTATTCATTACATTGGCTAACTTTTGGCAACTTGTTCCCTGAGCCGCTTATGACTTGCTTTCAGATGTCAGTATTTTTTTTGAATTTGTAAGTTATTAGTTTTGAGGGTTTGATTTATTTCTTCTTTCAGTTATAGATGATTTTTCTTTACACTCATTTCTTCGATTCTTTGACATCTCACTCTCTTTATTTATCTTAATTTTTTCATTCATTTCCCTAATTTTACTTTGACTTTTTGTATTTTGCTTTATTTCATTTGCTGACAATTTTTTGCTTTTGTCTTTATTGCATTGTTTATGTAAAGATAACATCTTAGTCAAAACTACTGGGAAATAACTAATTGGCGTGAGAAGGTCATATCTGAACGATATGTAGAAGTACTACGTCACAGATGAAAAAGTGAGACATGTAGAAATGTACACGAAAGTCGTGAAATCAAGTATTTCTTGTGCGTAGTAAAATGAGAAACATACAATTAATGTAATGTTTTTCTTGAATTTTAGAACCAGAGATGACAGTGAAAATGCGAGTCCGAAAATGTCCTACAGATGACTTGGCGTTAACAAACTGCGCAATTCTTAGTGCGAATGCGCTGAATGGTATGGAAATCAAGTGAGTAATGTTATCTTTTCATTCTTCAGCATAAAGCTAAGAAATTAAGTAATAACTTGCATTACCGATAGCTTAACCAGATTTTGGCCTTTTATGGTTGAGGGATGTTAGAGATCACATATGAGGCTTGCATTTATCCATTTATCATGAGAAAGTATGCTGTACTTGATGATGTAAATACTAGAAATTCGGATTTATTTCTTTGGTAAAATTGGAATGGTCTTACTTGGTGATAAAAAGAACGCAATGGAATTGAATAGCAAAAAAGAACAGAAGTTCTAGTGTCGAGAAACTCCTCGTTACTTTTTAATTTATGCAGGCATCTATTGGTAAAGACCGGGCCGGCGCATCATTTTGTTTTTTCGGTTCGGAAGCATCCATCGTTGAAGGCTGATGAGATAGCTTTCGCTCTATCTCAGCGCAAATGGGCAAAATTATCATTGGACCAGGAAGTGGAAGTGCAGCAATTCACTTTCAATAACAATCAATTCATCGGATCAATCACCGTCGCTGCTGATTTTCAGTCAAAAAAAAAGTAAGCTTCTACAAAAAATTTTTGGAATTTGAAATAGCTCAGATTGTTAAGTCATCATTTGCTGTTAAAAATTATAGGAATTAGATCTTGTGATTTTTGTTTGTCTTTTTTGCTATTAGTTAATAGCGTTGTAATTTTTCTTTTCTGTGACTGTAGTTTTGTAATCTTACGGTAACAGTCTTTTATCATTTTACACAGATCCCATCATTGTCCCATCATTTCCGACAACTTTATAATTAATAATACTGTTAAGCGCTACTGTTATCTCTTATTTATATGTGAAATGGTTCTTTGAAACTATTCACTATTGTTTTCTGTCAAATTTCATCTACATATCATGGTTCTTTGCAGTTTCATCTGTTATATTTTAATTTATATTATTTTACTTAAAATCTAGAAATTTGTTTTTGGGCAGATACATTAGATAACAAATAATTTTTATTGATCTTTGACTCTGCCATTTTTTTATTTAGTTTGTTGCTTTTGTTTTTTCTATTATATTTGCAACAATTAACTGTAAATTTTATTATTAAAAAACTTTCTTATACTATTATTTCAGTCAAACATCTGAACCGTTAAATACAGACTTTATGGCTCGTGAATTTTCTATCCAGTTCTCTGGTCATGCATTTACACGTGGTGAATTACTGGTATTTAAATTTGACGACGAGAAAGGAAAATCATATACTTTGGCTTTAACAGTCACATCAATACTCGGTAAATAAATGCAAATTCAAATATTCAGTTCGAGTTTCTGAGTTTCTGAGTATGTGATTTCAATAGTCTTAATTTCACTTTCTGAATGTAGAACAATGTGAACTGAATTTTCCTTTATTTTATAATATATCAAAAACTTATCTTCTGATAATTGTTTGTTCTGTGGTTTTTTGCAAATCACTTGTCAGTTTGAATTTGAAATTACTGTGTTATCTTTGTTATCTATGCAATTCCATTTTTTCTCGCTAATTATCTTTTAATTAGTTCTCGAATTTCGTAAGCGCATTTCTACTACTGTTTTAATTTCAGGTGTCGATCTCTCATTTGCTACGAA